GGCCCCTAGAAGCTATATGGTGACCCTCAGAAGCTATGACAGGGGCCCCCAGAAGCTATATAGGGGCTCCAAATGGACCCTAGAAGCTATATGGTGGCCCCCCAGAAGCTATACAGGGGCCCCAAGAAGCTATACAGGGGCCCCCAGAAACTATACAGGGCCCCCAGAAACTATACAGGGCCCCCAGAAGCTATACGATGGCCCCCAGTGGCCAGAAGCTATATGACAGCCCCCGGAAACTGTACGGTGTTCCCCAATATGGCCTCCAGAAGCTATACAGGGGCCCCTGAGTAGCCCCCAGAATCTATACAGTGGCCCCTAGTGCCCCCCTAAAGCTATACAGTGGCCCCAGAAAGCTATATGGTGGCCCCCAGAAGCTATACAAAGGGCCCCTAGTAGCCCCCAGAAGCTATATGGTGGCCCCCAGTGGCTCCAAGAAGCTTTACAATGGCCCCAGAAGTTATACAGGGGCCCCTAGTGGCCCCAAGAAGCTATATGATGGGCCCAAGAAGCTATATGATGGCCCCCAGAAGCTATAGGGTGGCCCCCAGAAGCTATAGGATGGCCTCCAGTAGCCCCCAGAAGCTATACAGGGGCCCCTAATGGCCCCAAGAAGCTATATGGTGGGCCAAAGAAGCTATACGATGGCCCCGAGAAGCTATACGGTGGCCCCTAGAAGCTATACGGTGGCCCCCAGAAGCTATAGGATGGCATTCAGTAGCCCCTAGAAGCTATATGGTAGCCCCCAGAAGCTGTACGGTGTTCCCCAATATGGCCTCCAGAAGCTATACAGGGGCCCCCTGAGTAGCCCCCAGAATCTATACAGTGGCCCCTAGTGCCCCCCTAAAGCTATACAGTGGCCCCAGAAAGCTATATGGTGGCCCCCAGAAGCTATACAAAGGGCCCCTAGTAGCCCCCAGAAGCTATATGGTGGCCCCCAGTGGCTCCAAGAAGCTTTACAATGGCCCCAGAAGTTATACAGGGGCCCCTAGTGGCCCCAAGAAGCTATATGATGGGCCCAAGAAGCTATACGATGGCCCCCAGAATCTATGCGGTGGCCCCCAGAAGCTATACGGTGGCCCCCAGAAGCTATAGGATGGCCTTCAGTAGCCCCCAGAAGCTATATGGTAGTCCCCAGAAGCTGTACGGTGGCCCCCAATTGCCCCAAGAAACTATACAGGGGCCCCCAGAAGCTATACGGTGGCCCCCAAAAGCTATATATTGGCCCCCGAAAACTATATGGTGCCCCCCCCAGTGTCCCCAAGAAGCTATACAGGAGCCCCCAGAAGCTATACAGGGGCCCCTAGTGGCCAAAAAAGCTATATTGTGGCCCCAGAAGCTATAAGAGGGTCCCCAGTGGTCCCCAGAAGTTAGTTACATTAAATTTCACTGTTAGAGAAAATATCCAATTGAATTCAATGTTAAATCAAATATTCACAAGCCTTTAAAAGCTATACGATGGCCCCCAGAAGTTAATAAGGGCCCCCAGTAGTCTGATTGCGCAGATGAGGAAAGCCAATGCTTATAAAATGTAGACATTATGCCAAAATCTAAACGATGCCAACCCCTCTATTGTATGATAACATTAGATTTCATTATGATGGATGTTCCAAATATTAAACTTACATATACAATTGTACTTCTTTCTGCAAGATGACCACCAAAGAAGTCTGATTGCTCAGATGAAGAAAGCCAATGCTAATAAAATTTAGACACTTTGCCAAAATCTAGACTATGTCAACCTCTCCATTGTATGATTACATTAGATTTCATGCTGATACATGTACTGAATATAAAATTGTACTTACACATGATAACCACCATAGTCTAATTGCCCAGATGAGTGAAACGAATACTTAAAATATTTAGGCATTATTCCAATGTCTAGAATATTCCAACTTATCTATTGTATGATTCAGATATGAGCCCCCTCTAAATATTGGGTGCGGAGGTACGTTTATGGAGCTCCTCCGCACCCAATATTTAGAGGGGGCTCATATCTGAAAAACATTTCCGAATTTTTATAAAATCACACAGATACTGCCTGGCTTCAAAGATGCAAAAATAATTTGCATGGGTAGTGTATCTTGAACACCATTTTTTATGAATGCTGGGGACGCAGTATTCAAAGGATAGTCTCAAAATATATAGGTCTGGGAAATGTTTAAGGCAAACTGCGTCGCTATAAAATGAATTGCACTACTATTTTCACAATTTTATTGATATTTGGTGTCAAATACACATATCTTGGAATATTTGAAGTCCCAAAACGGCTTAGTTTCAGAAATATCCCAATTTTGAATTCAAAAATGACCGTTAGCTCCGCACCCTCCGCTCATTTGCGCCGCACCTAATATTTCCCACAGGCTCTGTCTGCAAAGGGTGTATATCTCAATAAAGCCTGTCTAGGCTACATTTGTGTTCAATGAAGATATTCAATTTTACTACAATTATATAATTTAAAGGGGTTATTTATCCCATGTATTTTAATAACTTGCTAAAAAATATGAGAAAAATTGCAATTATGACGTCACAAAATATATTCAAATGAGCTAATTTGCATAAATTATAATATTTCTAAATGGGCATTCGACATGGTTTCATTTGGTACCAAGATTATTTAAAATGGATAAGAAATGGAGAAGTTATAAAATAAAACATGTTATTGGTTATATTTATACTATTAATAGCAGGTATTTTAATCGGCGTCCGTTTCCATGGCAACGGCGCCATTTTCAGAACTTCTCATTATGTGGAAAATATGGTAGAGGCTTAGCTTTCTAAAGATACCCAGTAGGGTCTGAGATTTACCTGCTAATATTAGCGTTTACCGTCTCAACACCCCATAATTTACATAAGGCTAGTTCACATTTTGTAAAATACAAGTTGTACCATAAAATAGGTCTAATTTTGCTGTTATTTTTCCAGTTATGTACTAATTAAAAGGACGTAGGCTATGTCGCTTAAACTGATTGAGATATGTTATATATATCAAAATAAAGCCTGTTTCTCCTACATTTGTATTTTATGAATATATACAACTTTACTACACTTATTTAATTCAAAGGGGTATTTATAACATGTATTTTAATAACTTGCTCAAAATATTAGGAAAAATGGCAATTATGACGTCACAGAAGATATGCAAATGAGCTGATTTGCATAAATTATAATAAATTATACTTTATCTGAAAGGGCACTCAACATGCTTTCATTTGGTACCAAGATTATTTAAAACGGATAAGAAATGGAATAGTTATATAACAAAACATGTTATTGGTGATTCAAATACTGTTAATAGCAGGTATTTTATTCAGCGTCCGTTTCCATGGCAACGGGACCATTTTCAGAACTTCTTATTAAGTAGAAGATGTTGTGGTGATGCACAGCTTTCCAAAAATACCAAGAAACCCAACAGGGTCAGTCGATCCTTTTTTATTTTATTTTTTGCAAATCCCTACTCGTCTAAAATAAAATTCTCAACTTATGAATTCACGTTAATTAGAAATCTTGTCTGTTTAACAAGTGTACAATACATGTAACCAATTGTGAAAATTTACTGTAAGCTTGTTACTTTTATACAGTGTCATATGACAATGGGATTTGTAAATAGAAAAATGTAATTTGAATTTAATTGTCCAGATATAACATGCACTTAATTATCATTTATCACTGGTATAGAATATTATAACCATCAGCACAATAAGAATGTATTTAATGATAATGTATTAGTAGTATTAGTAGTATTAGTAGTATTCAGGAAAGGTTTTCCACACTCATGTAACAGTAGGTTTTTGTATAAAAAATGTCTGTTAAATACACAAATGTATTTAATGCCCAATTGCTTTAATAAAGCGTAATTCAGCGTCCCATATCTTTATCTAATAGAGTAATGAATTCTGATCCTTAAATTGCAAATATAATATGCGTTTTAGTAGATATTTGCAGCAAAAAATGCATGGTGGTATAAATAAATATATATAAAGGCATGTCTTTGATATGGGACTTCAATGTGTAATTCATACATGTACAGAGTAATCGAGTATTAAATCGTATGTCTTAATGTTGTACCATTGTATTTTTATACAAAATGTAAACATGAATAAACATTGTTAAGTTATAAAAATAGTTGTTGATTTTATTTTACTTTTCCTTGTATAATTTAACTTGTAATATCATATACAGGGTGTCTCAAAAAATGTACCTAAAAGTATATCAACAGCAAAGATAAACCAATCAATATTTTTTGCATGGTCATGTGGCCAAAACATGAAAGTTTTCTCCCCAATACACTATTTTTATTTCAGTCTTGCCTTTTTGATGCTTTAACCCTTTATCTTTTAAATCACATAATCAATGTAACCTCATATTTCAATGACAGACTGGATCCTTACTGCTACATTGTGCTACACATTGTTCATCACATTTGATAATTCATGTGGAATGTTTTGGATTTCTCTTTGGATGTTGCCCTTACGTTGTGCTAGGTCTTTCTGCTTGGAATGAGCATTAAAACACTCCTTCAAATAGCCAAAGAGAAAGATGTTTGAGGATGACGATGGCAGAACAAGCACAGAGAATCAGGTCAATTATCGGCAGATGATTCAGGAATATCTTCCAGAGTTACGCAGGCTAGCCTGGAGATCAGTATCCAAAAAGGATAAATTGAATTAAAAACTGTGTATAGGGGAAAAACTTAGATGTTTTGCTGACAAGACCATGCAAAACATGTCTGAAACATCGATTGGTTTGTCTATGCTGTTGATATACTTTTGGGTACATTTTTTGAGACACCCTATACATTGCAAACATGCTATGTCCAAACAATTCTTATAACAAGTCATTATTTCGTCAAAAATGTTGAACTTTTAGAAAATAAGCATAACACAGAATGTTGCATAAATTGCAACATTAATTAACAATGCTTATACTATGCATGCAAGTAAGTGTTAATATTCATGTAAGGCAAATATTATATAGAACAGTCCTTACACTATTATACCTGTACTTTCAAACAGCCAGACACAATATCCGAGACAAAATTTAAATGTATTGACTCTTGAGTTACTTTACTAATCTCCCATTAGATCTGAGTTCTTGATTACGAGAATGTCCCCATTTATCTGTCACTCTGGATAATCAACCTGTTCATTCTCATCATCGTCACTGTCTGTGTCATCTGACATTCCAGACTTGTTGTCACGGTAACTGAAATAATACATGTGAGATCATGATTTTTAGTGATGTTGGCAAGTTGATGTCAACATCAGCATTGATGAATGAAATGAATAGGTGCTGTGCTTAGTTCCAATGACTTGTTTAAATGATATCAAGAGGAGTCAGCTCATGTATTTTCTTGAATTGATGTATGGGTGTGCTTTTTCTGATATCACATGAGGAAAACTGATTCCTATGAAATATTATATGGCTCATAAAATATCCACATGCATATTGATATAAAAATAACTTGTTAAATGTAACCACCTGCCATTTGCTATGGATGCCGAAAACCGATTTCCAAATGCCGAAAACTGTTCATAAAAAGTTGGAGACTATAACAATATGTCACCACTTCTGGTGGTGACATAAAAAAGTCACAAATAACAGAGTGTTTGAGTTCTCTCAAGGGTAAGTTACCTTTGTGTAATGGTATTCCCCTCTGGATTGTATGGCTGCATCTTCACCCCCACTGTTTGAGCAAGTCTCTCACTGGCCTGGATCGCTTGAAGTGTCTTTACAAATAGAAACAAATGAAATTAAACATAGAGAATTTTTAAGAAAAAACTGCACATGGATCTCTAATTATTAGCCAAAAGACAAATAAATGTGTTGTTTTAAAGAAGACAGGTGATTTTCAACGGGTCAATCATTTGAAAATCTTTACATGGATATTAACCTTTATATTCAACATGTTCACTAATAAGCCAGATTTTACTGTAGATCAATACCTGTTGCTTTTTGGCTTGCTCCTTTTGTAGGTTGAGAGATTCCTCCATTGACAGAGTTATACTAGACTCATGTGTCCCTTTAGGTCTATATGCAAGTACACCCTCATATTGAATTGTTTTCTTGCTGGCACCTTTAGACTTATCAGTTTTAACATCATCAGGGATATCTTTTGATAATACAGTTCTATTATCTATTGTCTCAACTGGCTGGCCAATAGGACTGTCTGATTCGAGTATTGTTGTTAATTTGCCTTTGTTTTTTAGTTTTCTAGATATTGTATTTGTCTCCATGATTACACAATTGTCTTTAACACTAGGTGACTGTGAGGGTAATTTATCCTTTGGGATTTCACTGATGTTCTTGGCTTTTATAGTCCTGAAATAAAAATGTTGATAATAAGGATAATCAAAATCATAATCATACCATACCCTTGAATATAGAATAGACAGTTCTCCATAGGGAACATTCAAAATGGCCATCTTAACATTATAAGAAATACCTTAAAACTAATCAAATGATTTGGGTCCAAATGTATAGATGAGACTTCACAAACAAGATTTTAGGATGGAACATCAAAATGACTGCTTTAATATTTACCGGGAATGTCCAAAAAGGAGTCGGCTTTCTTTGTTTAACTTTCAACCTACATAGCTGATGCGATGGAAGAATAATTCAAATTGGAGTTTTAAGAAACACGACTTAGGACATACAAAATACCATGGGCTTTCTAGTTGAAAGCCCATGAAAATACACATATAATATTGACTTAAATCATCTCATACTTACTGGTAGGCCCGGTAGTGCGTTTTGGGTTCAACTGAATCAATCTTCTGTATGACTTTAGCATAGCTATTGGATTCATCAGATTCATAGTTGATCTGTTTCTCCTTAATCCTGGGATTAAGCATCTGTTTTAATGGATCATCATCCTCAATGTTTGTTTCTGGCCTTATTTTCATTTGTGTGAATAAAGATGCAGTCTGATCCACAACTTCTAATTCTTTTATCTTTTGTTGTAATTGTTCTGCAAATGTTCGTATTTTCTTCCCCCTGTCTGGAAGTTTGTTGATGAATGATCTGTAACACAAGAGGATTCATGTAAAACATATTAAACAGTTAAACATAAAATGATAATATACTTATATTACAATTTGTAGTGAGTATCTACTACCTAAAGAAGGTATCTCAAACATGTTACAGGCCCGTAGCGAGGATTTGCCATGGGGGGGGGTCCATTTTTTGAAAAATTCCAGGGGGGGTCACTTGTGACAATTTTGGTCCAAAAATGGCCAAAATCACTTAACAAGTGCTCAGAGTGGTAAAAAAATGCATGATATTATTAGATATGCAAAAGGTTCTGAATCTTGAAATGCAACTTTATCATTTGTACTCACTTATTGTTCAGCAGCTTCTGCTGTCTTTTTAATAGTTCTTCAAGCTGAGTTTTTGTGTGATTTTCAAGGTTACCAAGGTAACCCTGCTTCTCAGTATCTGTCCTTATAAATGTATCAGCCATTGTTCAGATAGGATTCTTGCTAAAAAATGATTGACACTTTGATATACAGATTGTCACAATTTAAGAGAGAACTACTGGACTCAGTTGTCAACAACATGGACTTGTAAACACATATTACATTAGATGCTCATGTGGACTCAGGTGGCATAACGTAAAAATCCATTTTCTGTGAAATGCATGATTAGTCTACCAGCCAAGAGATATCACTTTCACCTTCAATGACCAATTTTATAAACTGGACTCATTTGCCATTAAACTCATCTCAGAATGTTCACTGTTATTTCGCTTTTTTGTTTGTGCATGTGCAAAAAACTAACCATGTGCAGATTGTCTCTAAAAGTGGAATATTAAATATGATTGACGTTCATTTCTCTAAGATACTGTGCTTATGCCAAGGGAAAGATCAATATCCGGTGATTTCAGCGGGAAGTGGCGTTTCGTTCAGTGGATGAGCTGCTTGCGCACGCATAAATGTGATTATCCAATATTATTAGGGGAGGGTTATTTGAAATAGTTTTTGGTCACAGGCGCGACCCAGGGCTGTTGTCTTAAGGACATTTCGTTGAAAATGAGCCATTCGGCTGATAATTGGTAAGAGTTTGCGATCTTATTATGTATAATTGTTACTCAGACACATATTTTGACACGATTCTGTTAAAAATAAGCTTTGAACCGAGAGATATTCACGATTGATATGCACATTTTTGATTGTGCCATTGCTTTTCCATTGCACAATCCATGTATTGATAGAAGTAACATTAATAATGTAGATTATTTTACCTTCAATACATGGCAGACACTACATATCGGTCTATTAAATACCAGTTTGAACCTTAAATAGTTTTATATTTCCATCCACGGCCTGGAGAGCCTGGGTGTGTTTGTCTCTTATGTGTATGCTTGTGAATTGGTGGGGCTGGTAGGGCACCAATCCCCTGGCCCCGTCCACTCTTTATTCTTCTTCCCACTTACTCGAGTCTCTATAGCCAATTACCGGAATTTCCAGAGGGCTTGGAAGAAGATAACTGTCCCACCAGGTACCTCTGGGGGTCAAGATTGGATTAGACATTTGAAGTAAGACTGGTCTATGACTGTGGCACGAGTCCCCAACCCCCGGGCCCCAACCTAGCATACCTCCGGGGTCCGGGCATACCTCACTTACGAATCAGCAAGGGGGTAAAGGCGGGGGTAAAGGTCGGGGGTAAAGTAAGTATCCGACGAGGGGGGGACGTTGTAGAATTTAACATGATGCAAACTCGACATTATAACTCATGCTGTAACATTTTGACTTCGCTGGAAAACAATAGGAATTATTTTTCTTGCCAATCAATCATGAATCACAATCAAAATTTCAGAATGATCAATCAGGCAATGGTCTGATCATGGGCTCTACCACATTCAAACATTTTATGATATTCAGCAAGAAGTCCGGTAGAAATATAGAATATTTAAACATCAAAGCTGAAAGTTAAAAGCTAATCTGTCAATTTTCTGTCTGCAAAAGAGCGTTTACATTTGACACAATAACAGACTGAGGCTTTGAAATCTAGGATTCCCCAGGAAAATATGACGTCATACTAATGAGCATAAGGATTTCCCTATTGGTCTGGGTCGAGCCTTGCTCGAAAACACAATCCATAAATACATGCTAATTTCTAAGGAGATAGGAAGTGTATAACGTGTTTATCGATTTTGTTTAAAGATTTAATCAATTATCAAATTGTTTAAGTGGATAAAGTGGTCACACTTGCTTCAATTCATAGCGTAATCGACGGATAGAAACTGACCGAATTCCCGATATCCTACCCCGTATTACTGTAGGCTATTAGCTCAGTGACCTACAGAGGGCGCTATTACAAACAAGTACTGCACGAACCGATAAATTCCCGGGTATTGTAACGCCCTTGCTTATGCTTCAAGATTGACAAAATAAATCAGAGGGGGTTACATACAGATGTCGACGTAAGGAGTTATTCTTGATTGAATTTTGTATTCATAACAAGGCAACTTGATACTCATATATGGAACAGAATATCGATTTGCGTCCCTGGGAGACACAGAATGGAATTTTGGGCGATAATAGATGAAACAAAACTGGTGTCATCTGCAACTTGATTTCTTGAAGTAAACTCTCTTAAAAATGAACAATCAGTAGCTTTAATGCGAAATTATATATTCATATTAACATACATTGTAATCATAGATAATATACACGCCGTTTGATCCTGAAATATACGAAATATATATGAATGAAATTTCTACCTGTTTTTACTTCTGGATTTTCTATTGTTTGTAATCACGAAATGTCAAATGACTATCAATAGGTGTTAGTGACATCTATCAATAACCTCAATTTCAGAATGGTGTTCAGCCTAACCTTGCTTTAAAAAACTACCATTCCACCCTGGAGGGATCTAGATAAGGTGTGGTGGTGGTGGGGGTCAATTGATTGGAAACCACAATTGTGACCCTTTAACTGGTTTTGTACTTAGAGGTCCATGTCTAAGCATGATGACAAATTTTGAGAAATCATGACCTTTTATCATTATCTTTCTAAGCAAGCCATTTAGATTGTCTTTGTATCAGAATGAATGGACCTGTCAGGGCCAGGGATACATATTCAGTGATCTCCCCAGGATTTTTTCTCAGGTGGGTGCAAAATTCTCATTTTCAATGTTTTCACAATTCAGACCAAAATTGTTCAAAATATGCCAATGTTTCATGATTTTCCTCATTTTCAAGTGGGTGCAAATGGATTTTCAGGTGGGTGCAAGCCTATTTTCAAAATCTCAGTTGGGTGCTGCGCCCACTTGCTTTAATGCTGGCGAGATCACTGATATGCATTGTAGCTATATTGTAATTTATTTTCTAAACTTTTATATCAATTGTTTTTGAAACAATTTTTGAGCCCATTTATTCTTCAAGGTTCGGAGGGTCACAGTTTAGAACATTTTTCATCCAATGACTTTCAAGAGACTCCATCTCTAAGCTGGAGGTGAAGAATATCTTTTACTCAAGACACACTTGATACTTGAAATTCAAAATTTTTATCTTGTTACTTAGCATACCTAAGTCTTATTTTGGACCTAGTCTCCTCTTGTCAGGAATAAAGTTTTCTTGGCGTCTCAATGACAAATAATATAATATTTTGTTATGTGCTTCCTATTCACTTGAATGCCCAAAAGCATAAGACAATGACAACATGACATTTCAAGTGCAATAAAATGGGTCATATTCGATGAGGTAAACATGACACACATTTAGCAGATTATAAAAGCATCATTTATTTGTATTTTATTTCTCATTTATTTTACTATATTTCTATATAGATTTATCATTACAATGTATAGTAATACATCAAAGAAAAACATCAATAACTGTACAGTAAAAATTGAGATGATCAAGATTCAAGAATCAAATTATCCATGCATTAGAGAAATGGGTCATATGAAACAGTGACTTGGTCTTTTAGAGGCAACAGAAAACAGGTATTTTCTTTAGTCTTATACTGTTACATGATCCTGAAAGTGATGGAATAACTCTAGTATGTCTCCTTCTGTTTTGGTGTAGCTAATATCTGATTATGAGGCATAAAAGTATGACTTTCTTTATATAAAATTGTAAAAACTCTGTCCCATATAAGTATGATATCCTCTTTGGCTTCAGTTTTGCATTGGGCCACTTATTTAATTTCCCTGTCTCTCATTGTATTACGCCAGCTACATCACTATGTCCATTTTCTAACATTGTTCAACTTTTGTCATATGGTGAGGTTTTCAACAGAATTTAATTTTCAGTACCATCTTTCATGTATTTCTCCTGGATGTCTTGTATTTTCTCATATTCAAATTCAGCACCAACTGCACAACTAAGTAATGAGTGAATGTTGCGTTCTTCAAGATCGCCAAATACATAACCATTAGCTTTATCTACGCACTGCATCACCCGAAGAAGTGTTTCTTTATCCTGGAAAGAGGAGCGTCAATTTTTTATAAGATTTAGTTGTGCCTTTTTTAAAGATTATACATACTACTTAATATATGGCAAGTACTGAGAGAATGCATATTATTGTTTCAATACAATATTGTTTATGCATTAACAGATTAAGTAAAATAGATGTTTTTCATTAAAAATATCATCTCAGGTTTTGACTTGTACCTGATGTACTACATTTATGAAGATCTATGGGAGCCTGGAGTAATTTTGAGATGATAAAATGGATAGAATGGCAATACTGATACACAAAACAATGGGTCAGGTTTGAAGAACAACCCACAAAGAGAAGATTAATAAACTGCCATCCATATGGACCCTGGCTGCCGTCAAAAGGGATGAATATTTTTGCCTGATAACCTTGAAAATAGATTTTGTAGAATTGGGATTTTTTTCTCTTTTATTCAATTTAACATGACAAATGTAAATGGTTACAACTTACAAAAAGTGTCATAATTTGGTACTTTCACAAAATATGGTAGCCATGACAACATTATGTCACCAACATCTTAGTGTTGAATATAAAATCAAATAAGACAGTTACAAATAAACACTATTTTGATGAAAAATAAATCAAATATATGAGTTGATATATCTATATATTAATAGAGACGTTCACATAAAATAAGAGAGGAAATTATAGTATAATCATTACACATTTCAGTTATCAGGATTTTTTCTCAGGTGGGTGCAAAAGTCCACTCAAAATATGCCAATTTTTCATGATATTTCTCATTTACAAGTGGGTGCAAATGGATTTTCAGGTGGGTGCAAGTCTATTTTCAAATTCTCAGGTGGGTGCTGTGCCCACTTTTCTTTTATCAAAATCAATGTATAAATGTACTTAATGCTGGGGAGATCGCTGCATTATATACCGTACCTGTATATTCATAGCTACAAACGTAACAAGACTATAATCCTGTACCAATCCAACTATGGCTTCATTCAATTTGGCATATTTGGCAAAGAATGGGTCTTTCTGAAAACATAAAAAATATATGGCATTCACAAACTGTAAGGTAAAAACTAACAATATAGTATTGAAATATTGATACATAACTCCTTCTAACCTCAACTGTGAAGTCCAGTAAGACTTCAATATATTACCCTTTAATTTCAGGGTTCTCCACTCAGGTTTTTCAACTGAAGTTGTTTCAATCACCATGGTAGACTACTGAACTAGTATATAACTTGGTCATAAGCCATGGTGTTCCGAAATAGGTTAGGACCATGATCCAACTACATGTATCTCCAAATGTAAAAGATTATGCAAGAGCAAAAATATTCAAGATATGGCTCCCACCTACCTGTAAATGTTCAAGGAGAAAATCTAAATCTAGGACTTCGGTATAGAAATCAAGGTTGAATGCCAGCTTGCCATAGTTTTCAATGAGATCTGCTTTGGAGAGTACATTAACATGAGGAAGCTCAATTTGGAGCATGGTATTCAAAGATGTCAGCAGTACTGAGATAAACTTTCCTGGCTCACTGCAGTAGTGGGAATCTACAAGATGCACTGAGCACAACCTGAAGAAAATGTAGGCATATTTTATTGAGAAAATACAATAGAGGACATTACTTGTATTATTGGTATTATTACTGAAAAGAGCTAAATGAGTGTTCTAAGTGACACTCATCAACACAGAAAAGGCTGAACAAAATGAAAAAAGGCAATTCATCATTTTCAAAATTCAGAAAAAACATTTTTTAACATCCAATGATTAGCCAATAACATAAGTATATTTCATCGGGATTAATACAACATAATATATTAATACAACATATTCTGTATATACAGATGCTTGGTATTGTCTCTATAGTGATACTAATCAACACAAAAGAAAAAACAAAATGGAAAATAGAAGTTTTACATTTTTCAAAAACTTCCAAGTATTCAAGAATATTTAAGTTTACCAGCAACCTACCTAAAATCCCACTTAGTCAGCTGTTGAAAGATATTCTTCACAGAGTTATGATGTGTATACAGCTCTACCTGTCCAGGACAATCAAAGAGCAGGTAACAGTCTTTAAATTGATCCAGCTGGAGTTTAAGCCAGTCCATGTTCTTCTCTAAGTACTCAATACAATAGATAAGTCCTCCATTTGGGCCTAGGTGTAAACTATCCATGACATCAGTGAGTGTCACAAGGTCAGAAATATCTATGGAACATTTATATGGAAGGCTATCATTGGCTGGGTCGAGGTTAATAATCGCAACTTTACGTCCAAGTTTACTCAAGAAATCATACATCCCTGTGCAGTATGTAGTCTTGCCACTTCCAGGTGGACCAATGACTACTTGTCCAAACATAGTGATAATTTTGTGATAATATTAACATATGAAATATTCAGTGATTTTATGTGCTATGAAGAGGCTGGCTGTTGAGCTTCGTTCAGTTGGTTCAGTGCAAGATCTGACCACTTTTGTTCCTGTTCTTTCAGTGTTTCTGTTGTTGGTCCGTTATCTGGCTCCAATTCTGGAAGTTCGTGTTGGGGAACAGCAATGTCCTCTTTGGGTAGTTTATCTTCCCGCCACTTCTGATCAATAATATCAATCATGCGTCCTTCTCGTTGTGCCTCACTGTCCATTATTACATCTGAATACAATAAAGATGAAAATCATAATATGATCAATGTTTGAAAATATAGCAAAACAATGTTTTATATAGCCCCAGCCAGTTATCTCCACAGGATTTTTTCTCAAGTGGGTGCAAAATTCTCATTATCACAATTCAGACCAAAATTGGTCAAAATATGCCCATTTTCATGATTTTTCTCATTTTCAACTGGGGGTAAATGAATTTTCAGGTGGGAGCAAGCCTTTTTTCAAAATCTCAGGTGGGCACTGCGCCCACTTGCTTTAATGCAGGGGAGATCACTGGCAGCAATTGCATTAGGGTCAGAAAGATGTGAGTTCCAATGAGGGGAAAAAACTTAGAAAGTGAGTCCCGACCGAAAAAGAAAGTCCTCCAATATAAGCTTAATATTGGCTATTTTCGAAATTCAACTCTAAAACTAGCTATTCTATAGTACTTAACCACTGTAACGTAATAATAATTATCATGCTTTCAGCATTGTCAGTCTTGTTCATTGTTACAACAAAATGTATCCTAATGACGAATATGTGAATGTTCTGAAATACAGTGGGAAGTGTGATAAGACATAATCAGAGAATCGAGTATGTACTGCGTAAATTGGTGTTTTCAAAAAGTTATGCAAATTAAAATATGTCCAGTAAAAGAAAATGTTATCTGTCCAATACAAGAAAAGATATATCACTTTTTGTGATTTTATAGCATGGGGTCTATGGGGAATCTCCCCGAACTAGAAGTGACATTTTCAAAGTTGATAAACAATTTTCCAAACATTTATCAAGATGTACTTTTACATGTAGATTAAAAATATGATACCACCTTGACTGAATTTTGAATATTAAATGACGCGACGTAAATTAAGATTTTTTCTACTCGCATCTAGTCTATTGAACTCATTTTGAAGGTATATATTATCAGTTTTTCAGTGAGAAAAAATTGTCACATTGCAAACTGATAACCTATTATCGCCCATTAAGATAATTTGTTTTTCTGTTTTCTTTTCCTTTTTTACTCAAAATAAAGATGTAAGTCTCACATATTTTAATCTTAACATTCAACTCAAATAAGTCGAACATGATTAATTACTGATATCATCAATTTTTTATGTTCAAAATTTTGACTTCAATGGTTGTTTACATAAAACAAACGGAAATATTTTTATTTTTCCATCCTCAAATATATTTTTGCATCCTTTACATGTACGGATTGGCGTTAATGCAAGCCCTAAGCCCCATTACTTTTTGATCAGGTGAGCTCTAAGAATTCAATTTCAAATACTTTGATGATTTCAATGACAGCTGAAAAGAATCTTTAGCTTTTTCTCTACAGTATGAAGCAGGGCTCATAATTCGATTTCAAATACCATAAAAGTGATGACAGGATCCAGAGTCAGGACTATACGATTACAACATGGGAGAATTTTCTATGCCTCTTACACTTAAGATACCTACTTCAATAGATTCCTGGGTATTTTAGCAATTTTTTTCGTGCAGCTGAATCCACAATTATCTGGGTTTGTCGGCAGAACAGGAACATTTTCCTTTTTCATAGAGAGAGATTCGTTCACTTTTCAAGATGGCGGTTCGATTTAAAAGGGGATTCCCCATTTGACTGGAACGGAAGTACCAATAAATGGAGGAATTTGACAGTTGAAATAAGTTAAATATTACACGCAAATATTGCGATCAAAAATAAAAAATGTCTTCGTTCTGCAGATAAACCCAGATAATTGAAGATACTACACAAAAAGAATGCTAAAATACCATTTATTGAAGTAAGCATCTTAAGTGTAAGAGGCTTAGACAAATTTTTGTCCTATGTTGTAATCGTACAGGCAAAAGATTGAGACCTTCTCAGGACCATTGTCCTGGATAACTAAATTCTAACCAAAGAATAATTATACTCGGAGGAATTGAAAATAGTCACTTGTTGTTTTTGCAACTGAAATTCCATTCAAAATTTCCCAGCTCATCACCCTATTTCCTGATTTTGAAAGAATAATATGTTTTGAGAAACAATAGATAAAAAAGGTAGGCAAAATAGAAGGTGGTCTCAAATTACTACAGAAGTTGATTTTGAACTGTGGGCTACAGACATGACTTCAAAATCACCAAAAGTCGAGTGACATCCTACTTTTCCTCCAAGCTTAGATCTATCATAAAAATAAATTCAAAAATTGGTCAATTATCACCCACGGATATCAAAAAAACTTTTGTCAAATTGAATTTACGTGATGAGGACGGCTCAATGTGAACTGAAACATTGTTCCGTGTAAAGTCCCATGTTCCATACGTGCCTGGTAAAGTAACCTAGGAAAATACTTTCGCAATTACCTCTTTATTACTGCATCTTCAGCTGCGAGTACGACGTGACCGAGTGTGGCAGTTTATCTTCTACTGCGCATGCGCCCCTGAAGTAAATAAACACGTTTGATTTTCGAGAAGTATATTCGAAGGACAGAGCTTTATGTGGTATTTCGGCATATCTTTGCATTAGATTTAGTTCACTTGTGAGCAACAATGGCATCGTTTATACGTTCTTCAAAACCGTTATGTTCGACGGTGCTGTCAAACCTTTGGAAGGCTCAAAACTTGAACGAGAAAATTGGTCGTAAATTTTCAACTTCAGCAACCTGCAACATGGTTTTTAGACAGGTAAGCTGAGTACTTTTTATTTAGTTCTATATTTCTCTTGCAGCTTTCAAAAACATATCGAGTAAAACGTCATTTAGTATAAACATTAATTGTAAACTACTACATGATTCTTAAAGGACCACTTTGCGTAATTTCAACATTTTCTGGCAAAATAAGTCTTATTTGAATTTCATGGTTCATGTATTTCATCAATGGATTGATAAGTACTTAACCAATTCATTTGACACCAAAACAGCTCAAATGGGCCATATAAAAGCTTGCAACAATATGTTATCAAAAAATATTTCTGATCTGTCAAGCTTTATATATCAAGTTTTCATCAATGTCAATGAAAGATGGTGAAGTTGTTGAATTACATGATACATTCATTTTCATAGAAGTGTCGCCATCTTGTCAAAAATGTGCATGCACTACTAATGATCTCTGAACTTCAAATGCTGTTTTCTACATGAGTTATTTTTCCTTGGTCTAATATTACTGCAAATCAAACTTTGTATCATATTTAATTGAGCAGAGGCGGATCCAGGATTTTGTGTTAGGGGGGGGGGGGGGGGGCGTGTTAGTATGTATCCAACAGACCGAATATAATATTCGGTCTGTTATGATTGATGTATTTCCTGTGGAAATCGCGGTGATATTTTTTGCACATAAATTTCTCGTTTATTACAAGAATGTTCACCTTGAAAATTGGTGAATATGTTGAAGAGATGTTCATCTTAAACTAGAAGCAAAAATATTTGTATAAGGCGGGTACAAGTTGATATAAAATAATGAAATGTTCAGACTCACCAAAACTTCCGGATGTGTTCATAAGTAGATCGCGAAATCAATGTCAAGGACGTTTGAGTTCACGAGATCCAAACGAGATATGCAAATGTTTGAACTTTGACAACACATGACCACTTGATTACCTCGGCCTTCTTCATGAATATTTCCGCTCTATTTACTATAAATGACGAAAATTAATCGGGATAATGATAATAAATGACTAGATCTAATAAATTCCCGCACAAATGGAATTTATCAATACGCTTCCGTAATGTTGCTTCGTCCGCTCCACGTGTTATTTGTTTACAAATAGACTGACGTCACTGGCTAAATCTCGTTTATCGTGAGAATTGGCATTGCCAAAATGGCTTGACCTAATCAATGGCTTCGCTACAAGAAGCGTCTGTACACAGAATATCTTCAGCAAGAGGACAATATACGAAAAAATAATATTGTAAGTTCTTTATAAGGTAATCATTTTATCATTAAACTAACTTATTTGTAACATTTATACAACACCACATTTTACAATAGGTGACTTACAGTCTGAATTTATTCAGACGAAGGATACAGTCTAGGGGGCGTGTGATGATAACTGTGAGCGAATTAAAAAAAAGATTCAAATTTTGTCAAAAGCAATGAGGCAAAACACACATTTTCTGACTTTTTAGTGGGGGGGGGGCGTGCGCCCCCCACGGCCCCCGTCTAGATCCGCTGGTGTTGAGTGTGTGAGTAACATATTTCAATGATTTCTTTTACCTTGTTTCTTCATCATTAAGCACAAGTGGGCTTTAACATATTTATCATTAATTCATCAGTTTCTTTCTAAGACCTACAATAGATTCCAAGAATTGATTGGCTATTGATATACCCTTAACTTAGATTACTGAACTGTAAATGATGAATGTCAATAGGTGGATGTGCGCAACATATTTTTATGGTCAAAAGTACACATCTCTTGTGATGTGAAGGTACATTGACAGTTGCATAGAGTGGAGGTCTAGGTCTTATCCACAAGACATTGTACAATACCCTGCATGTACCAAATACCAATACTCATTTGCAATTTTAAAGGCCTTGTGTAAATTTTGAAAGTATTATAGTTTCAATATTGACATGTTACTTTTCATGACTTGAAAAACTATTTGAAATCTAAAATTTTAGTTGAAATTAATTCATAATTTTTCAAACAAAAGTCCTTCAAAATTAAATTTTTGAAATCAAATTGAAAAGTTTCACATACTTCATTTTGTTAATATTAGGTAAGGCTATAATATAAGCCAAAGTGGTTTAAATTTTATATGGGGCCTTTAATGCTTACAACCCTTTACTACACTATATCATGAAATGTTGATGACCATGCACTGTAGACATGTAGTTATCAGTCCTTAGTTATCGAGTTCCAACTTCCAAGCCTACATTGTCAAGATTTGTATTGCAAATAGTTATGTATCAAAGATAACCATAAAGGACACAAATAGCATAATCTGACAATGCCAAACACTAAACACTAAAATCTAAGTTGTCTCTGACTTCTTTCTGTTGCATTGTCTGATACCCTTCATGTACTGACCAGCTGAATTCTATAGAGTCTATACACTTTGTGTGTAATTCTGTATTTGTACAAAGGACCAGGTATAGTATGGCAAGTGATTTTGGACAGTCATATCTTTTACCATTCATATTTTCTCTCTCTAAAGTATTCTTGTGTACAAGAAACATTATTTTGCAGTATATTATGCTTTCATAATGAACTGAGAGTGCCATTATCGGTAAAAGAGTCAGAATTGCATTAAAGAAGTAAAGAACCCTATATCATTCTTAACATCCATTCTCTAATTCACTGAAAAGGTTTTCAAAATATCTTTTAAAAAATCAGAATCCAAGAAAATTTTGTATAATGACATTTTAAAATGTTCAACTCCAAGTGAATGATTAAACAGGGACATTATATTATTTTTATTTTTTATATGTCCATATAAAAGTAGTTTAAAGCAAAAAGTATTACTTTCAAATTGCCGTTATTCTTTATCCCTATTTCTTGACACTGATGTCAGTTACAGGTTAAAAAATAGTGGCTTTCATTTATCTATAACTGCCAGTGAACATGTTTAAATAGTCATAGTACAGATTTGATAAAAATAATCTGTTAGGTGATAGTAAACTGTTTGTTATAATATGTTGTGTTATGGCAATGCTACATATTAAATTGACATACCTTTTGCTCTTCAAAATACTTGACAAAGTAGATCAAGGACAAGATAAAGTGATACAGAGTCATAACATAGAGTACATGTCTCTGAGAGACAGCATTCAGATGCTCTACCTGACTTACTAAACTCTTTTTGACATTCAAATACATTAAAACCCATGTAGGAGGAACAGTTTTGGTACCTCTAAAAGTGTTCCACTTATGAGATGCTCCTCTTATAGAGAGGATAATTTATTTAAAAACAAGTCAATAGGTTGCGGAACTTGCAGTTAAACCTTTAAGTAGAACACCTTTGGTACCTCTTAAATGTGTTCCACCTATAGAGGTGTTCCACTGACAGAGGTGTTTACAGGTTATAAGGTTATACTGTAGATAATGTTTTGATTGGTCTGAATGATCCCACCTTAAGTATTCCCTCCCTCTCATTAAAATGTTTCAATGTCAAATCCAGTGATGTCAAGGATGAACATGGTTTGTTCATTTGAAAGGTTAGAAGATGGTAGAATGTGCAGAGTATCACATTTCAATTAAAATGAATTTATTTCAAGTTGTAATCTCAGTTTATAGATTGTATAAAGGAACCTTTGGCAACTTCATGTTTAATCAGTATTTTTGATATCTTTACATGCTCTTAACTCTCAATGATAAAATGTAATATATAGGTAGCAGTTAGGTAGTAATGCATAATCTCCCCTGCCAGTTATTCAATTATTTAGAATGGTTTTAGTATTGAATTAAAAAAATGTGACACGTGCAGGGGTTTCATTAGCAGCAGGCAACAGGCGATTTTCACCAGTTGTTTTCACAAAATCGTCTGTTGTTTTTTAGGGATTTTTCATGTTTAATTGATGATTTCCATTAATTTTGCCTGTTGTTTTCATTGAAACACTGTTGTGGGAAATTCTAGTGTAACCCTTGCTGGTGTGATTTTCTGACAACAGACATAAATGAAAACAACAGGCAATTCAAAATGTATGGAAACAGTTGCCATATACATATGTTTGGTAGAGACAGGATTCTTATATCAAAATAACATTTTATATGTCACTTGAAGAAAATAATCCTATATTTATTGCTATGCTTTACTGTTATTGAAAATTGTATATCGGATGTACGTTTGGCCCTAAAAGGGCATCAGTACTAATAAAATCCTATTCTACATTATGTATTAAAGGCATTATAAGTGTCAAGGCCTTGCGATATCAATGTTTATATTAATGACTATCAGGGTCAGCAACAATGTGAAATAGAGGTTCCAAAGATCGATATTATCAGCAGTTGCAAAATTCAAAGAAACTTTAAAGGGACACAACCTGAAAGAACATACAATATCCCATAATAAAATGACTTGACTTATAATGCAACCATTTATGAAAATAATTATTAACTTGAAAAATGCATACCAAGAAACAGCTGCATGAGAACTGTTCCAAAAATGAGAATAAGAGCTTGGGCTACTTTCTCATTAACTTACTAGTTCTTGCTTATAATGAATCATCCAGGTTATATTAAACAATAGCATACCTGTCTGACTTGCATTGTTTTAGGCTCTAATAATATGAATGGTTTCGTTCATTGTTTTTCATTTTTTCATTTTTTCAGTGTTTTAATTTTTCATTTGTTGCAGTTATTTGACAGTAAATCATGGACATACACATACCTGTTGGCGGATGATGAGAGCAAAGAGGCCGTCGTGATTGACCCAGTGTTAGATCTGGTCGACAGAGATATTAACATTGTCAAAGAATTAGGCCTCACCTTGAAGTATGGAAGTATGTAATTTTAATTAATTGACATTATATTATATAGGTATTGATTATATAATTATCAAACAATTTTTTCAAAATTCATCACTTTGAGCATTTTTTGAGTGATTTTGGGTCAAATTTGTCAAATATTAACCCCATAGAATTTTTCAAATTCAGATTGGCAAAATCTGGTTACATTATGAGAAAAAATAGCACCTCCACTAACACAATGTTTAACCACGTCATCTTTGATCTTTATAATTTTGAGACAGTATGATAACATATTAGAGGTCTTTGACATTTTATTTTTACATCTTCACATTTATTTATTTGATTTTTGGTCATTAAACAAAGTCTGTGGAGATGTTATCACCTGCATCTGTGTTTACCACTGAACCCCTCATAGTTTTCTGCAAGTTGAAATGCTGAATTCTGCAAGCGAAAAATGCCAATTCAGCAGGATTTTTCAGCCCTTTAATGAAAATGATTAGCCAATCCCATTTGCGCTCAGTGAAAACAAAATTCGAGGAGCTTAAGTAGCAGCAAACTAATAGAATATGATGTCTATTGGATATTTGTATAGCCCAGATGTAGATTGTGAAATCAAGTCTTGTTTACATATATATACTTGACAATAGAAATATGTTGGTCAATATTATATAATTTGTTCATGCATAGTTCATATGTATTGCATATGTGTACCTGTATACATAGCTGTATGTACAAAAGACTATTTCTAGCTGAATATTGTTATACTTTGACTGAATATTTCAGTAAATAGCTGTGGCCCAGTCTTAGTTAGCATCATGACCCAAATTGCTCGAAAATAGCTCTTACATTGACATTTTAAAATACAATATGCACTTTAACATATATGCCTCACCTATCCTCTTGCAAGTTATGAACATATTTTTTTTAAATTTCAGTTTTTGTAGATCTTACTAGCATAATATGGAAACATAAGTATCTTGTATTCATGTAAACTAGCTAACAGTAGATAGACTCATCTAAAAACACATTGGTCAACTTTGCTTCTTTTCTGATACAATTAATTACTAGTAAACACTGATTTCAACATATTAATTGATTTTTCATGTTGATCTACATTTGAACCCTCTCACATTTATCAAGTTGTTGTTTGCTTAATTATCCCATCGAACGAAGTTCAGAGGGATATAGGGAACGCCTCCGTCCGTCCGTCCGTACGTACGTCCGTCCGTCCGTCTGTCCGTCTGTCCGTCCGTCCGTCCGGGCAATAACTCAAATACCGTTGGCCCGATTTTGTTCATATTTTGTAAACATATACCCTATGGGGGTAGAAGTTCTGCTCGAAAGCCGATTTTCAAAATGGCCGCTCATTTAAAAATGGCGGCCATTTTTGTGCCGATTTTACAGTAATTTAGGTGCAATATGTAAAACTGTAATAGCAATATGTTTTAAATGTAAAAAATTATATAGGACATTGATAAAGCTAGAAATAGAGATATTAAAGAAGCACATGGCAGCCATCTTGAAAAATGGCGGCCTTTACTCTTTATTTTACGATTTTTGCTGTAACTCAAAAAGTAGTGGAGCGATTTTGTTCATATTTGGTTTGTGAATACTATAAGCATGGCACACTGTCTAATGACACTTTTGGTAGAAGGCGGCCATTTTTCAAAATGGCCGCCATTTTAACGTATTTTACTATAACTCGAAAAGTAGTGGAGCGATTTTGTTCATATTTGGTATGTGAATGACATAAGCATGGTACACTGTCCAATAACACTTTTGGTAGAAGGCAGCCATTTTGAAAAATTTCAACCAATTTAAAGTATTTTACTATAACTCGAAAAGTAGTGGAGCGATTTTGTTCATATTTGGTATGTCAATACTATAAAGAAAAAGCATATTACTTCTTCTGATGACAACTTGGCTAGTGAGCAACCATTTTGAAAATGGTGGCCTTTCTTATGTGTTTTTTATGATATTTGCTGTATATTTCGTTTGTTAAAATGCCAGCCATTTCTGTTCGATGGGATTCGCTACGCTTTGGCGTTGCCGTTGTTCTTGTTGGGGTATTCTTAATCTTACACCTATTTATTGCTGCAGAAATCTTCACGTTATCATTGATTTACATTTTTGTTTTCCAGTTAATACTCACGTTCACGCAGATCATATAACAGGTACGGGGGTCATGAAAAAGCGCATTGATGGATTCAAAAGTGTACTGTCTGAAAAAAGTGGAGCAAAAGCAGATCTATTCCTTGCAGATGGAGAAAAACTCAACTTTGGAAAATATGAAATCGAAGGCAGGTGTACTCCCGGACACACAAATGGTGAGATTACTCTACGCATTATATAAGGGTTAATCCAAAAATTCTGCACTGTTTGCTCTAAAAATCTCAATTCTTTGAAGATTGTTAATACTAGTATTTGCCCTCAACCACCCCATATATAGTCGTTTCATTTTGTGTAAAAGTAATAACTTTGACCATTAATATTAGGTGTCTGATTACCAAAGCAACATGACAACAGGTATGTTGGGCAACAGTACAACATATTTTAGAGTTATGTGTGATGTGATCGTATACACAATGTATGTGCATATTTTCTTTTGATGAAATCTCTAAAACTAGAGCACTTGTACTTTTATTTCCCAGGGACTGTAATGATCAATATTCACCTAATGCAGAGGGTGCTTGCAGAAACCCTTCAAATATAATTTGCCTATGATGTGGAACCAAAAGTCATTTTTGAATTTGAATTTGTGTCAACTGCTATTTACTTCATTGTAATTATTTAATTTTTTGTTTCTTTTTGCAGGTTGTATGTCATTTGTTATACACAGTGAGAAGTTAGTGTTCACTGGAGATGCTGTTCTCATCAGAGGCTGTGGAAGAACAGACTTCCAACAAGGTACAAGACAATACATGTATTATGAAAACATTGTTTTCAGCAAGATTATCCATTTCACTGTGGTTGAACTCTTTAAACTGTTTATGAAAATAATAACGAAATGTCGCTAACGTTTTCATAATCAGTTTGAAGTTTGACCACTTTTTAATGCAATTCTCTTCATAGAAGGTCTTATATTACAAGATTTTTGTCAAAATAAGGAGATACATGTACATATCAACAAAATATTTTAAAGTAGAAAGCACTTGATTTTACTTGCTGTTGAGATAACATTTGCCCACCAGTATTCAAAATCTAGTGCAATGATTGAATATAACTATCATTTATATTTGTTTTACATTTATTTGGTTACTTGCAGGAGATCCAAGGTTATTGTACAATTCAGTGAAGTCAAAGATCTTTAGTCTACCAGATGATTTCTTGTTATATCCTGCTCATGATTACCTAGGTAAAGTATGCTGGAATGGGGAGTTAAAACTGCAAAATCTGTCCTGAGGGTATACAGTAAAACCTGTCTCATATGAATGCCACTTGGGCCCACCAAAAGTGTTTTGTTCACTCAAATCAGTAACTCAATGAGAGATAACAACGATAGAGAAAGTGTTCACACTGAAAAGTGTTCACTTAAGAGAGGGTATTCGGGTGTACAGGTTTCACTGTAACTAGGTTGTTAAGAGAACTGCCTCAACAGATTTTCACAGAATTATATTTGTTTAAACTGAAAATGAGGTCCAATGCTTTTAATTTATCACATTTGAACTGAAAATGCCTCATCCATTTTCTGAAGTTTTTCTCTGAAACTCATTGAGGTATCTAAAACATGGAGCCTAAAAATGTTCTAACATTTAGGAAGCTATGCCAACCATGTTAATTGTACTTTATGCCATCATGTTAATTGTACTTTATGCCATCATGTTAATTGTACTTTAAGCCAACCATGTTAATTGTACTTTATGCCATCATATTAATTGTACTTTAAGCCAACCATGTTAATTGTACTTCATACGAACCATGTTAATTGTACTTTATGCCATCATGTTAATTGTACTTCATACCATCCATGTTAATTGTACTTTATGCCATCATGTTAATTGTCCTTCATGCCAATTGTACTTTATGCCAAACATGTTAATACTCTTTTGCCAACTGTACTTTGTATTTACAGGTATGACATCATCTAGTGTTGGGGAAGAGAAGAAACACAATAAAAGACTCACAAAATCAATTGATCAATTTGAAGAAATCATGAATAACCTGAAGTTACCCTACCCTAAACAAATAGGTATAGTTCTGTTTTTATTATGTTGATTGGCATCCAGGGTGGGTCAGCCAAAATTTAGGGCTTATATCAAATAATTGAATTACAGAATGGGTTACAGGTGGGCCATTGTTTAGATACTGCACTCTGTCCATATGTGAATATGAAACCTCATTGGACTCGTACATTCTACAATAAGAGAAAATAAAGGATCTGACTTTTACCAGGAAAATACCACAAAGCAAGTTGCAGCCATTTTATGTTCATGTAGATAATGATTAAACTGTAGATAGCTACCACTAAAAGCCGAACATGTCAAGTCAAAAAGGTTTTCAGATATATTATTGTATTAGCACTTGCTATGTATTGTGTTTTCAGACACAGCACTGCCAGCCAATTTAGTGTGCGGAATACAAGATGATGTAGCATAATGGACTGAAATTTAGGTGACTACAGACATTAACCATTCGACATCAATAAGGGAATGTGGCAGCTGCCATTTAGAAGCAACCAAGATGCTTATGTTAAAGGTGGGCCTTGTTGGAAGTATTGGACAGTGTTTGCACATGGCATTAATATGCAAACCTACATGTGATTTGTCTAAGTTTATAAGCCAGGGGTACATTACCAGGGAGTCACTACCTGAAGCTTCTGTTTATTTATGATGCTTGAATTAGTTGAATCTTGATGTCATAGTCAGAGAACAACTTTAATAAGGTTTTTGGTAAGGTCTCTTAGCATTTCTGGAGTTGAGAATTTATTTTTTCTCATACTATGACATCATATTTTCAAAAGTCAACAACAATGAAATCATCAACTTTTGTTAGATGCACTGGTAATGTACCCCAGATTACTCATATTATTCATTCTATTCAGCCTACCTTATTTTAAATGTAAGACTGAATATAGGATTCACAATAATTCACGCGCAACTGGTGTACATTAACATGTTTACTGCAACATTGAAACTGTGGCCTGTGGAGTAAATGTATATACAGGTATTACAGGAATATATTGGCACTGGCAGTAGACATAACTTATTGTTTAAGATCGATGTATTGTCTGAATTATTGCATGCAAAATCATTCATGTTTTTGCAATATTTGTAGCTTAAGGTGTGAACTTGCATACATGTATTTCACTCTATGATTACTTATTGAAAAAGAAACCTTTAAAATAATGCTCTCAAAAATATTTTCAGATTGAAAAATTGAAGTTATAGGAAGTTGTATGAATAATATTCTAACAATAACATTGGAAATGGGTTTATAATTGTACATATAGCCAAAAAACTCATTTTATGTTGTTCCAAAAAAGTTAAAAACAAAAACTGTGGAAATATCAATCATTATTTTCATAAGTACTCTGCCATAATTTGTAAATATCCACATGAAACATATACACACACCAATTTCATTAATTACAAAAAATATTCATTATGCTGATTTTCCTTACAGCTAAATACAGACAGTGTTATTTTGGATGGTTGTACCTAACCTGCTTTAAGATTTAAATTATGGCTACTTTAATTGTTATATTTAATTGTAATGTCTACTATAAACTATAACTTAAGCAAAAAGCGAGACCAAAGTGAATGAAATGCAGCATTTTTGGGAGTGGGCTCATCAAAGTATGTGATGTGATTTTATTGTAGAAATATTTAAGTATCAGGAAAACCATTAGTTTGCAGACGATCCAAAAATAAACATTTTATAAATAAGGTCAGGGTAAATAGTAAAGTGTTATCAGGGAATGTAACTCTATTCTGGAATTTTAAACACTTTGTTACTTTATTCTGGCTTTGTTTAGAAATATATGCACCATATAACTGTATAATAATATATATATACTAGAAAACATATTGGAACTTAATTGTGTTTTTAAAATTTAACCGTCAGACCTGCATATATTTTACACATTATATTATTTTATCATGTCCAGTGGATGTCAATATTTTAAAACTATCGAATTTTGTGTATATATGCCAAATATACTGAGTGGGACCTAACATATAAGTATTACAAAATGTTGTTAACTTAAATGTAAACTTTAAAATTTGCATATCTTGCCTGTACAATAACTGCGATACATATTAATGTCATATTCTAGACTAATTTGTCATATTTCAGTTGTTTTATGTATCACACAATGCTATTACTTGGCTGATGGTTTAACATAGATTTGACTTCCAAGGTGTTTTTATATTCCTTAGATGGATACTATGCTTATCTCAAATGATGTTTATTCCAGGCTCTAAAATCAGTTTGAAACCAGAGATTTTTCATTTTTGCCAGCTTTTGACATTTTTTAGTCAAGAGGCTAAATGATCACAATTTGGTTAAGTGACTTGATAAAAGTTGAAGTCGAATCATGTAAAAATAAGTGTAGCACGTTGTCATTAGTTGAATCAAGTGGGGTTTATTTTTGGGCAAAACATACCATGCAAACATTGGTATCAAATGAAGTACTACATTTTTGTGATATTGTCAGTTGTTATATGTGTAGCCTGTGTTACAGATTTGTTAGAGCCCAATGTTTTAAAATAAATAATGATGGTGTAAATTATAATATAAAGGAGATACACTTTTGGATTCTATGCTGAATGACATATGTCATGTAATGATATTCAAAACAATAGATGTGCAATTAAAAGCTGATGATCAAAATTTTCTGAACAGAAGATATTGTAGGCCAAATTTTATTGGTTACTGAGCAAACGTGAGCCTTCAAAATATGTAGACTGATATATTATAATAAACAAAACCTATCTGTATTATGATTGGTCCACATTAGGGCCCCTGGCTATAATACTCTGAAAAACATCTTATTATGAGCCTGTAAATTGTACTACTGACAGACTTCGATACAAACCTTGTTTTCTGTAGAGTCAGTATAATATGTCGAGCAAAACACCTTTGGAAGTGAACACTTGAGAGTCCCATGACCAATCGTTAAATGAACCTCTGACAGTGAAACACCTTTATAGGGACCAAAGGTGTCCCACTAATAAACTTTTACTTAAGCTTGAAAAAGTAACAGGCCTGACAAGTGAAAATTAAACATATTTTTGAAACTAGACAAAAAAGGTTTGTATCGAAGTTTTGATTTCATTTTGGTGTGTTTCAGATCAGTTAGGCAATGAGTCCCTCAAAACTATTTTGCTCCGATCAATTGCAATTTTAGTGGTTTATAAGATGTGTTAAGATTGTTCTGGAGTTAATTATTGAGTGATATTTTTATCACCTTATGTTGAATAGTTTTTCATGCATGTTTCTGTGAATTTACATGAAGATTAAAATAAAGCAATACATTCATATTTTGTTACAAATGATGGTCTTTATTTTTTATTGTTGTTTCCATTTCAAAGGTGGTAACCTTCTTACATATAGTGATAGCACAACATCTTAGAGTATCTACATATTAAAATATAATAATTTCACTGTTGTCCTCATAATGATAAAATGCGACAAACCCCATAATCTTTGATATAAAGTATTTAACCCAAAGTTTATCAAGGATGAATTTTTCATAAAATGAACCAATGCAAAACAAATGGTTCACAACAGAGTTGTCCACAAAAAGAACAGCTATCTTATCTTTTTGCTGTACTACAACAGTATTGTTATATGAATCCCTCAAGTCTGTAGTGCTTGAATCCATCAGTTAATCCTTAGATGTTCAAGCACTGAGTAGAATGTCTAAAAGTTTGAAATTGTCTAGAATCGGCCAGACCTGCCTTCCCGGCTGTGAGATCTACGACGCCTATCCTTGTCTCTACTGCGGGATCTACGGCGTTCACGAGTTGGTGGAGAGCGAGAGCGGGACCTGGAACATAAATGAAAATCTTGAGGTTATGAAATCATTCTAGAACATCAATGATATATACCCAAAGTTACCAGGCAGTGTAGGCCAACATTATATCAGTATAAAAAAAACGAGGCCATGACTATCATATTAAACTTTCTGTAAATATCCCAACTGAACTAAATGACACATTTCCCTTTTATGGAGCCAGACTTTTCAACAATATTTGCCCATTTCAGTACACAATACAGGACCTATCTACGAGATATATATATATAAATATACTGTGTGTAACTAGATACAATTATGAACTGTGAGCAGCTTTTTATCCAAAAATAGATCAAAGATAATTTTTGCTCACCTTCTACTTCCCTTCTTCCTGCTACGACCATAGAGCTCCCTCCTGAGCTCCCTGGAGATCGGCTTTAAGTGCATGAAGTTACAGAAGCCTCCACGAGTGCACTCTCTAAAGGATAAAAGAAAACAGTAATAAAACTATACAAAATATTTCATTCAGGTTGCTGATAAACCCTGGTGAATTTTACTACTGATTATTCCAGCACATATTCTTGCATAATACACAAGTAGACCATGATGATGGGCACCTAATTATATGTGTTTTTCAGTTACCCAGGGCTTTTTTTAACTTTGAAAACAAAAGTAAATATGGTTAGCTTGTGAATGCTCTTGAAACTAAACATTGTCAGAAAGCACATGAAAAGATGAAAAAGAGCAGACATGTCAAGCTCAGTTATCACATAAGGATCAACAGTGTTGATGAAAATTTCATTTGTCTTACCCCATTTCATACTGTCTACAGCAGGCTTCTCTGAAGTCTGTCACTGGGGATAGTTCAGCATGGATAGGGCGCCCATTGAACCAGCGATTATTCAGATCATTGACAGCTTTCTCTGCATCTTCTTCACGACGGAACTACAATGGAGAAATTTGGATTGATTTCCACTCAATCATAATTTCAACAATATTACAAAGATTCAACAATAGTACAAAAAAAACTGTCAGAATGTTATAAAAGTTCTCACCTTAATATATACATTTCCAACTAAGTGGTCCCCTAAGTTGTCACATACATTCATCTCTTCAATTTCTCCATACTGTAAAATAAGAAAAAGGTGAAATGCAAGCATACAAAAATGTAGGTTAATCACTTGAAATTTTGCTCAAAAGGCTTGTGACCCTATTTGGATTATATTGGAGATTTAATAAGAACATGTGAACTTCAACTAAAAAATGGCATCTCCAAAGAGTAGCAGATCCCACTGAACAGTACAATGTTTGTTTCTCAGTGTGGTTTAATTACATCTTAATTGCTTACAAGATGTCAAATTACAATACCCATAGAGATTTTTAGAAAAACCATAGACTGATTACTGGACAAAAAGAATGCAAAAAAATTAGCATGGATCTGATTTTTGGGACATTTTAGTCCTAAAGTCATTTTGGATTATATGAGGTACAAAAAAGATATAATATCTGCAATAAGGTACCTTTCCTTCAAACATAATCAAGCTATACTCCTGAGATCTCAAAATTAACAGAAATATTTCCCCTGGGGTCAGGCCAAAAAAGTTACGTCGATAGTTAAGTAGATATATTTTAGATACAAGTATATCCCTATCGAGCTCTGTTCGTTGGGATAATAATTTATTATAAATAAAACATCACTTGAATAATTGCGCATATTTTATTCCTTTGACAAAACCAATATTAAACTGAAGCTAAGCAGAAATTCTTAACACATTTCTACTAATATTATTCCCTTAACTTAATTCATGTGATGTGATGTGCAGTACCAAAATTGTTAATTAATATAATTTTAGTTTTTAGCTACTTTATTTAGAGGTTGGCAAATCAAAAATTAAAAGAACAGCTTGTGGGAAATTGTTGTCCCTGTGGTCAAAATTTGGAGCAATGCACATCAAACACTAAATAGATCAGGAAGAACAAATTCTTGTATTTGGTGAAATTTCTATATCAGATTCAAGTCTTAACAAATAAAATGTCTTAACCTCCATGAGATATATCCGCATGATGATGATTTTCATGTAATTTTGAAGATTATTATTACAAAGAATTTAAGAAATGGGCAATCTTTGTCACATTTTTATGTGGACTTTTACCTGTCATGTTGGAATACAAAGTTAAACTCAGAATTTGAAATTTTCAAAACATCCCTTGATAAATATCTGATCTTGACACTACTTATGCCAAGATTTGATTTAACTAAATAAATTAACTTATAACTTAATCATACTTATTGAAATACAATTTATAATACTATCATCTCGCACCCATCTTTAATCTGGACTCTACACACAGTGATGACGCTCTGATTAAACCAGAGATAAAATTTCAAGTAAACACTAACCCCACCACCAATTCTAGGGAAATGCTGGCCATAAAATAAGTAAATGATACACACCCGGAAAAAGATAAGATACAACTATACCTTTGCCTCACATTCGACAAAAATTTCTTCGAAGAAATCATCATAATGCTGCTGCATCTCTTCATCTGAGACGTGTACTACAATGCACCAAGGCACCACATATAGTTCATAGAAGACTTAGCAGACAGTGTGCTCAGTAACTTAAGCCATTTTACAGCCATGTGATTTTCTCAAGCATTTTGTATAGTACATGTATTTCAGACATGGATCTACATGATATCAGACATGGATCTACATGATATCAGACATGGATCTACATGATATCAGACATGGATATTACATCAGTGCTCAGTTTATTTAGTCTGTACATTCAAAACAGAGCAATATCAATGGAGGATCATAATAATACGTAACTACATAAAATACAATTAAAATACAATGTAAAATTTTGATTATTTAACAGACATTCATTCCAGTGGCTACAAGTTGCTTGGAAAATCACACAGCATAAAAGCAGAACTCTGTATATCAAAACAGTATGAACAGTCAAGTCCATAAAATGACTGATGACTCCATCCATAACGAATGATTCATGTACAGAGTTCTCCTTCGCATGACCTCAGACCGACAACTTTCCCAATCTAAAAATAGCAAATGAGGTCCTGTTGGTCTAAAAAGCAAACAAATGAAAACCAAACCTGTCTATATTCTCCCTGGCTCTGATCGGGTGATCTTTGTGATTATAGGGCTATCAATTAACCTCCCAATCCACCTCCCCTCTTACCATAATTCGACAGTTTTATTTCACACATTAGAACATTTACTATCTAAAATCTAAGCGGTTAAACATGGATTTAATTTCGGATCAAAGCTTGCTTTTTGATCATGCTTTCGTTTCATCTAAAATCAAGAAAGATGTTTTAAAATCTAAAATAAAACATCTCAATTCAGTATATTTTTTAATCATTTTCCTTTTTAATGTATCGGTTAGAAAGACATAGGGTCAAGGAAGGGTGCTGTTTGCTGATCTAAAATAGAAGGACTAATCTATGACACACAATATTTAATTTTCTGGGGTCTAAAATTTGAAGTTCATATTTAAATGTACAATTAAAAATATTCATGGAGAATTTCTAAAATGGAAACATCAATTCTGATAATTTATACTGAGATCTAAAACAAAACATAATCAACGGAAAAGAAAAAAAATAGGCACACTTAGAAAAGTTGAAAACTGTCTCACTGATTTAGGTCCCGGTTAATCCCCGTCTAAAATATAAGCTTTTCATTTACCGCTAAAATGGAAATGTTGATCTGTGTGTTTATAGACACAGTCGGTGTATGTAGGAGGTATGGGGAGTGAAAGCGCCTTTGGGATTTTCTCCTGATTCTGTTTGCTTGCTATTGATCTTAACAAAGCTACAAAAAGATCTCGCCACCTTCTACTTTTAAGATAAACCCCTATTTTTAAAACAATGTATGAAGCTCAGTTATCACATAAGGACTACATTTATATATATATATCAGAATTTTGAACACAAAGACCTGTGTGGTTTATCTTAAAAGCATGTTCCCCAAGTAATCCAACTCAAGGTACAACCACTGGGTCACGCCTGAGCAGGATAACTGGGGGCCGTTGTCTAAACATTCAGTTTTTCCAGCAACGGACCCCAGTGTAACATTAATGTACATAACAGAGATACACAGTTACCTTGGTTTCAATTTCAGTAAACACTTCCTCAAAAAAATCATCATACTCCTCTTGCTGATTTTCATCACCAACCCGGACTGAAAACATGAGAAAATGCTACAATTAAAATGGAGAACTGGTTTTCTTACCAAGGCCATGAAATGATCTTTATGATTAAACTTTTAGAAACAATGAAAAAGTACAACAAAAAGATATCCTAAACTTTAATAGGCTATCATTACCAAGAAGTAATTGTAAAATTGATTTATAGGAATTGTTTACAACAATTTATGGTGATGACCCCCATTTCATTATCAAAAGGTTTTCTTTCAATTTTTTAACAATTGCACCCAATGTACAATAATAATATAATAATAATATAATTGATTATCAAATAGCTCAGCAAATACAAACATTCATAGCCTTAGAAGATACCATGATTTTAATGTTAACATAACAATCAAAATGTTCTAATTTTATGTCGATCATCTCAAATAATATGTTGATCTAAAATATTAATTCATCAAAAATTTATCTAAAATACGAAATCATTAAAATATAAAGGATGCATGCATATTCTACAACAATTCACAACATCAAAATTAATACAGAATTATAGTGTAGGCCGAATGTGTATCAAAAAGTCTTTCAAAATCACTCATGGAGGAATATTTGCCATTATAAGATGCACATTTATGAGTAATTAATGCAATTAACTCCTGGTGTCTTGATTGAGTTTTGGAATATACATAAGGCCTTTAAGAAAAATTGACATATTTACAGAGTATGATATGTTCAATACATGATAATTATACAAACCCTATACCAAAAAATGACTATAATACAAATCTAAAATTCAAGTAAAAATGCATTTCTAGATTGATTTGTTTTTTAACATGTTATAGCCTAAGATGAACTGATGCAGAGATTCAATGTAATACATGCATTTCACAATAGAGTCAAAATGTGATGAGATTATCAGCACTGGATTATAGAGGAATACTATAAATACCCTATTAAATAAATAATTAATAAACAAATGTACATGAACATGTTTTAAGAAATGAAATAGAGAGTAGGACTGCTAAGAGAAGATTGTAGCATTCATATTAGTTTTCACCAACACTTCAGAAGAATTATTTTGTAAAAATCAATACTTTTCTTCATTTTTAATATAAAGATGAACTGAGTCAATATTCTCAATGAGGTTTTAAAAGGGTGTGAATCAATATCTTCATATGATAACAACCTACTGGTAACTTTATTTGATTTATCTATCTCCAATGTTGAAATCTTTTTGATAACTATATATTATTTGAATGACAAGATCCAGTAAAAGGTCATATGACCAGTCTATGATGACACTGGAAAAGGAAAATGAGAAAACAGCAGGAGAATTACGTATGTGATAAACAACTATATGAACAAGCAAAACGAGAAAATCAGAGTCAAACAATTGTCAACGTATATCAGATTTTTTCAATGAAAAACGCAGATAATATTTTCATTTGGAGATAATTATGGAAATCCTTCCTGAACAGAGATTGTAAGCCCATAAAGTGTTTTCATTTTAAAAAGAAGTTGTGACTATTTTGAATCAAGCACCCATTTTGAAAAACAATTTTGAATATTTTCCTTAATTTTATTGAGGTAACTGTATAATTTGAAGAAAATTGGTAGAATATTTTGACAGACAGATTGACTAGGACAAACAGATGGATGGGGGACAGACAGACAATAGAGAGCTCAATCTTTGAGCTAATGGTTGAATTATAATTAAGTAACAGACCCCAACTGACAATTTTCAATACGAAATACACCTCAATGGCATAAATACCTGGAGATAATAAAACAAAAATCATAATATGTCAATAGAAAAGTATAAGTCGAAACTATCTTCAAAAAGACTTGAAAATGATTCACAACCTTTTACTTTATGCTTCGATTTTATTGACTTGAACAGCACTATGGAAGTAACTAGCAAGAGTGCTAACTTACTGTGTGATCCATCTGCAGTTTTGGCAGTATTTTGTGGGTTAATATAGATATTCTGTATCAGTATAGTCTGAAAGAAAATACAAACTGTGCATCAGCGTGCAATTAACTTACTGTGCGATCCATCTGCAGTTTTGGCAGTGTTTTGTGGGTTAATATAGATATTCTCAATCAGTATGGTCTGCAAGTACAAAATAGGTTATCAAACATATTAATAATAAAATTGCATTAAATATGAAAGGAGAAACATTAAGTATAGTCTGAATAATCCTTTCTTATATCAACAGTGTATAAATTATGATTTTCATCTTAAACTTTTTTGTCATGAGATTTTTCATTTGTTTTCTAAATGCGATGTTTTGCAACCAAGAAGATTTTTCATTCTATGGAACTAGATAACCTTGAATATTTATTTATAGTTTTGACAATGAATGATGACACATAGTCTAAACAATTTTGACATTCTCTTGATGAGCTTCAGATAACCTTATCAACAGAAATGGCTTCATGTAAATTCTTCCCTGATCAGCTATTTTTCTATTCTTATGCAAATAAGAAGAAACGACATTTGGGTCCTTCACTAAAAAGTAGAATCACAAATTATTCTTACCTGGCTAAATGTAGGTCTGTTATGAAGTCTGGAACACTGTGTACCATGTCGACATGCACCAATTTTGAAGTAAAATGAACAGTTAACCCTTGAAAAAAAATGTATATCTAAACAATATGGCGTTTAGGATGCAATATTAAGTTATGTGATCAGAATTAGCTACTGCCATCTTTCAATATAGATGGAAAGGAAAATTATATCTAATTTCAGACTTAGTAATTATTTTGTCCTTTGTTTAACGTCATCTTAGGTCTTCAGGAGACATTTTTACATGGAAAGTGTTGAGCATTATAGAAAGTATTTGATTTTCATTATCTAGCCCTTATATCTGTTTAAATTTTTGACTTAACATTCTTTTCGTGAAAGTGAACAATATAGTCCAATATGTAATATTATATAGAAAATACATTTTACCACGCAAAACATTTGTATATTTCAGAAAACTAGTTTTATGTGCAATAAACCTATAGTCTATTGTAATTTACAGAGTTTCAGCCATGTTATCTATTTTTCGAGAATAACATGGAAGAGCAACATCAAAATATTAGAGGCCACACATTTCATTCGATTTCGGGGAGGCAATGTTGTCCATATAGGCGATTGTTGGACATTCAATACAAGCCTTCCTTTGTCCAACAATTACCTACATTGCAACAATTGACGACATTGACTCTCTGTCCTCTAGCCAAACCAAAAGCAATCAAATATATACAAACGTGTTGCATGTATAATATGAATGTATTTCTCCATATGATATTGCGCTGTGGCCTTTTGATTGCTTATGTTATGTTTTATTGATGTCAAAACTTAAATGAAGTGGACTGTTTGACTGAAATAAAAAGATTTCTTGAAAACACTAAAAAAATAGCAAATTTCGAGACAATAAAAATTTCACTTTCAGTTTTCATTGCAATTCGTGAAACAATCGAGCCGAAATTAGCACAATATACGCGAACAGCTAAAAACTATTTGTTATCATTATCATCACAAAATAATAAATAAGAATGATGTGTATACTTGTCTTTTTCTGTCCCAAAAATTGAAGCAAGATATTCCGCCATTTTGAATCTCGTAGTCTCTCGAATTTTCTCGAGGTCTAATTAGGTCAAGGTTAGGTTCGAGAGTCCAATTTTTAAGTTTTAGTTTTCACCAAATACTCACGAAAATGGGTATTTCAGGTTCTACAGGTGTTTTCCTTATATCAGCTTCTGCTATACCGTTGACCTATATCGTAAATAACTTTCAGTCACATCTGTCTGAAGCAACCTTAGCACTTGTGGGAACGACAGTGCTCACTGTGATTGTAGGGGCTGTTTATTACTTTGGCAGAAAGGATGGCAAACCAGCTGACCCTATTTTCTATGGTAGGTTTTGAAAATATTTTATACGTGCAAGTATCCCACAAAAATAGTGATTGCATGTCAATTGACTCAAATTGGTTCACTGTCAGTTACCATCTTCCAAGGCCATATCTGTATTCCGGCCTTGCATCAAGTTTCTAGCCGTTTTTGCATTTGTCGGTTCTCACTTTTTCTTTGTTTGCTATTTATGAACAGAATTATGTAAAATACTTTGAGGAATGTGAGCTAATATATGCTGACCGACATGTCACCTTTAGATGATTTTTGCTAAAATGAGATGACATTCAACAATTTAGATGTTTTAAAATATGGCATACCTGTCGATCCTTATCCCAGATGAAAAAGTACAATATCTTGCTTTTGACATTGCTTGAATATTTTCCACGATCTAAGTTTTTTGAGAGAAAACAGTTGGTAACTTTGTGATGATTTCTAGCCAAATTACATGTACATGTAATGTATAGATGCTAGAGACTCGAATAAACTGTCAGCATTTGTGTGCTCTTTGGTTACATGTGATTGTGAATACATGACAATGAAGTTGCGATTATAGAATTCAACGGAACAAGCCTATGAATGCTGTGACATTTTCAATTTTGCACATGTTATTGTTATTTGTTATTCTTTTTCAGCCATGGCAATGGGTTGTTTTGCATCAGTTGTGGACCTGATCATCGCACTTGAGAATGATGGCGTAATTGAGGGATTCATGACATTCTATCTGAAGAGTGGGGAAGCCTACTTAAAGAGTGCATATGGCACTGTGTTATGTTACTGGGATGGTATCGCCCACTATGCTATGTACCTAATGATGCTCTCGGCTCTCTCATGGGGGTAAGATAACAGTTACCGTTTCATGAGGCATCTTCTCACACCTCAACTTTTGTAAGTGTAAAAAGAAAAAAAAAAAAAAAGAAAAAAAAAAAAACTTTTGTAAGTGTACTATGCCATGCTATCTTTGGGTACCATCATTGTAATGTGTTCTGAGATTTTGTAAAATTCTTCTTTGTAATTGCATTGCAAATATAACCTGGCACAATGTTGCCATTAGAGTGACATCCCCCATAATCAAACATCCATACAATACCTGATAACATATACAAGAACTAGAATATGTTTTATCTTGCATTGCAGGGATAATTTCAGAGAGATTGGTCTCTACTGGGCTGGTTCAATCTCACACAGCATGATTGTTTTCATGCCTGGAAATGTTCTTGGTAAGTAAGGGAGTCATTGTAAGTTGTTTAATAGATGTCTTGTCTTGGAGAAAGGAAGGGACCTTCTTACTCGCACAACCTCACCCTTTATCCTCTGGCCCTCTAGTTAAAACTAACTTGTGTTGACCTAAGCATCAACAATATTATGTACATGTCACAATCAAATCATATCTCTGCCTTGTTAATTTCGGCACCTGTTATCCCATGACAGGGCCGTCAGATGGGGGGGGGGGGGGGGGGGGGTGCGATGGGTGCGACCGCACCCCCCCTTTGTCACCCCCCAAAATAAATTTGAAAAAAAAAATTGAAAAAAAGTTTTTTTTTGAAAAATATTTTTTTTTTTTTTTTTTTTCATTGACTCATACACTTTGAAAGTACCCAGAAAGCACCAAATAGCATCTTAAAATTGTAAAATTTTCTAGGGGTATTGGCCACCCCTCACACCCCCCACAAAACAATGGAAAAGTTCTAAATTTATTTTAGAGTTTTGTCTCAGACACTTTTAAAGTGCCCAGATATCATCAAATAGCTCCTTGATATAGTTAATGTTTCTGGGGGACTTACTCCCCCTCTTGCATCTTGCACTTGCATAACCCCCCCCCCCCTCTGGCGCCCCCCCCCTTGAACCCCCCCCCCCAAAAAAAAAATTGTAATTTTCTCAAATTCTTTAATTGACTCATACACTTTGAAAGTGCCCAGAAAGCACCAAATAGCGTCGTAAAATTGTAAAATTTTCTAGGGGGAGTGGGCCACCCCCCACACCCCAAACAAAACAATGGAAAAGTTCTGAATTTGTTTTATGTATTGTCTCAGACACTTTTAAATTGCCCAGACATCATCAAATAGCTCCTTGATAAAGTTAATGATTCTGGAAGACTAACACTTACTCACCCTCTGGCATCCCCACTCCACCTCCCCCTCTGGCAGCCCCCCTCCCTTAACACTCCCCCCCCCAAAAAAAAAATTGAGATTTTTCAAATTTTTTTATTGACTCATACCCTTTGAAAGTGCCCAGAAAGCACCAAATAGCATCTTAAAATTGTAAAATTTTCTTGGGAAATAGGCATAGCACAGACACTTTTAAAGTGCCCAAACTTCATCGAATAGCACCTTGATATTGTAAATTTTGATATGGGGGACAAATTCTTGCTCCCCCTCTGGCACCCCAGCCCCACCTCCCCCTCTGGCACCCCTCCCCCCCCTTTGACACCCCCAACATTTGAAAAAATTGTGATTGTTTTTCAATGTTTCTATTGACTAATACACTTTAAAAGTGCCCAGAAGCACCAAATATCATCTTTAAATTGTAAAATTTTCTAGGAGATTTAGCCACCCCTCACATCCCCCACAAAACAAAAGAAAATATTCTGAATTTCATGTATTGTCTCAGACATTTTCTAAGTGCCCAGAAATCATCAAAAAGCACCTTGATATGGTCAATGTTTCTGGGGGACAACCCCTTGCTCCCCTACTGGCACCCCACCCCACTTCACCCTCTCATCCTCTTTGACACCCCCAAAAGAATTTGAAAAAAATTCACATTTTTCTTATTGACTCATAACGCACAGGCGTACCAGATGGTTACAAATTCGCTCCAAATACAACCAAATTTCAGAATTTTCCTGGGGGAGAACCCCCAGACCCCCCTAAATGCTCGGTTTTTTATTCACTCAACTCTTATTCCCGTGGTGGTGGCGTACTACTTAGAAACTTACACTTTGAAAGTGCCCAGGAAGTGGACCACTCCTCACACCCCCCACAAAACAATTGGGACGTTTGGAAGTTGCATGCATTTGTTAATTCCAAACCAATATAGGGAGTAACTGACCCCCCCCCCCCTCTGTCTTACGCGATTTGATTTACGCGGCAAAAAAATGACAATTTTATATTCTCTTTAGTAAGCTAAAAACCGCACCCCCCTTGGAGAAAAGTGTCTTACGGGCCTGCATGATGTAACATGACAAAGAACAAAAATCTTTGGATTGGAGTTCTATCTTTTGGGCAATGTGGGGTTTCAAAAGCATGATGTATTTTGGCCTGAAACATTACTTTAATGGTCCAGTGTCTATTTTGTCAATTATAGAGCTATTTTGTGCACTATTTAACATACATTAGAGGGGCCAGCAATTGTCAAGGTGTTCTTTTTTTGTGGGGGTGGGAGTGGTGCTTCGCCCATGCATAAGATGTTACTGAAAATATAACAAACCTGCCCCTAATCAGGGTTCAACATTCACAACTACCTGACTACCAATGGCAATCACTTGGCAATGAACTTGATTGGGCAATGGAAAGAATGCCAATATGTGAATGTGGGCAATCATGTTTTTACATTAGTAATGAACCCTTCTGCCACCTATCTTTTATTTTAATTTAAATGTTTCTACAAGCATACCATCTATCTATAATTTTAATCTTACAATTATGACAACCCTGATCCCCATCTGAAAACCAGTGTTTGTTTTACAGGTAAATATGGTGTAAAATGGTCTCTGATGCTCAATGTGCCATACATGATATTCCCCTTCATGGCTGGCGCCAGATTCCTTATGGAAAGACCTAAGCTAGCAATATCATCTACAGAGGTAATGGAAATTTCTCTGTGGTCTCTCTATGGAGACTTAACACCATTTAATAGAGTAAAATGCCATTAGCCTAAGATTGTAAGAATTTTAATTATTTAAAAGTGTTTGGCAGTTGATATGATTCAGAATCAAATGAATATACTGTACTGTACTCATATTTTCACAATAACGAAAACATAGTTTAATTTTTGTGTTTGTTAGTTGTTAATCTGTTTGCTTGTTTTATATAAAGTTGTTTGATACTTGTAGGCTCAGAGCAGTCATGTCAGTATATGGAGAAGACCCCTTGATTTCTTCTTTATCTTGTTCAACATTGCTGCCAGCCTTATAGCTCTACTGAGAGGATTTGTAAGTAGCTTACATGTATTCTGTTCAGATGCTACTTTTATTATCAGGGGCGTAGCCAGCTTTCAGTTAAGGGGGGAGCGGTCGACAAGAAAATCTGATTTTCAGTCAATCGTGGCGAAACCCCAAAAATTGAAGATTTGTTTTGAATTTTACAAAAATTGATGCAACTTCCTTCAGAATTGAGCTAGAAGCTTCAAATTAAAAGCATTTTAAAGCTCTTTTCCTCTTCTATCTAATAGTTTTATTTTTATTGGTTATGGGGGGAGCAATCGCACACTCGCGACCCCTATTGGCTACGCCTATGATTATAATGTCAATCTTAACAGGAATCATATCATGGTATTTCACATCCTAACAAGAGCAATGCTTTCTTTGCTTATAAGCATACATGCACAAGGGCGGATCTGGGAATCAACAAGGGGGGGGGGCCCAAATTTCAGGTCAGAGAAATAACGGTCCCCTAAAACCAAAAAGTGGGCCCAAATTTTGAAATTTTGAGGCCCATTTTCTTCAAAATTTGGCCTCTAATTAAAAAAAAAGCCTTAAAAGGCCCAGTAATGACCAAAAAGGCCCACTTTTTAGGGCTTGAAGGCCTTTTTTGGCCCAAATTTTTTTTTGGGCCCAATTTTTTTTTTCTGGGCCCACCCAAGGGGGGGGGGGGCCCGGGCCCCCAGGACCCCCCCCCCCCCCCCCCCCCCCCCCCCCCCTAATCCGCCAGTGATGCATGTAGTTGTAGCTAAAGAAACATTCAAGTCTACTTTTTATTCAAGAAGATTCATTTGTTATTGCCTTAAGTGTATGATTTCCATAGAAATTAATACATCCAGAAGAATGTCCAGCGCATGTATTAGATATAGTATATGTAAAAAATTACTGCTGAATAAAAAAATAAAATCAATGATTATTTTCCAGGCTGTTCTTGGCTGCAAAATGGACTTGACTAAAGATTACATTGAATTCTATGAACCATATCTTCTTGATAATGGAATTTACCCAAAGATTCAGGTTTGTAAATATATATCGGTAAAAGTGTACAGTTTTCTTCGGCTGCAGATGGCCAGTTGATTTCATTAAGATTTAAAAGGACTTTGAATTGTGATGTTTTGGGTATAGTTGAATTGAGTTTAAATGCACTTGTTTCAAGATGGCCTGATGTTGAGATGACTTGCATTTGAGTTGACTAATGAAGGAAAGCTAGAGTTTAAATTGAGTTGAGTAGAGATGACTTGAGTTTGAATTGAGTTATATTGCCTTGAGTTAAAGGGGCAATAAGGACTGTAGAGAAAATAGGAAAGTTTTTTCATTTTTTTCTGAGCTATCGAGGCAACATTTGGTTTAACATCTTCTTTGACATACCTATTTTCTTAAAGTGTATGGATAAATTATCAATTTCTGCATTAAGAAGTGTAAATTCAGTCCAAAGCTTCAAAAGGGGGACTTCCACTTATATATTTTTAAGATCCCCCATGTTTCAGGAGGAATATCAGCTAAAATAATGTTTATCTAGGGGGTTTCTTTGTAGATAATAAAAATAGATGTTAGTCTTGATGAAATATCCAAACTTAAATATATTTTGACACTGGTCCATGATCGTTGAATGACCCCTCTGCACTAATTATTGCACCTTTAAGGTAGCATGAACCAGTTTTTGTTTTCTACTTCATATCTATTTCAATTTAGAAGGTACACCAAATAGGTATAGCTACCTCTATGTATATTATTATCAATCTTAGCTGCCTCTAGTCAGATCAACTGACAAAACAACCTTTTTGGGGTTGTTGAGTTGGCTGAGAGGGCTTGAGCGCCAGCACGTTCAGGCTAATCGATTGGGTGCCATAACCATGAGGTTGCGTGTTCGAGACGCATGTGCTCCTTGTGTTTATTCATTTACTAAATTTTACCATTTACATGTATTTCAGATGCTGGTCTATTTGTTCTATTTCCTGCCATTCTACATTGTGTCTACTTATGGTCTACTCTACCCAAGCTGTCAATGGATGAAAGACTGGAGTTTAATATTTGCAGGCATGGCAGCTCAGGTATATGTTTTAACAGAAATATAGAATCTTTCATTTAGAGGACAGGGAGAGATTGTGGTCCATGTAGGTAATTGATGATTTGTGATCTCCAGATGGATCCTATCTTGTAATGACGTCACAATCAGGCCACACTGCGGTGCCTTTTATTTTGATGGATTAATTCTGTAGTTTGTACTTTATTGATTTATTTTTCATGAAAGTATTCGATTTGACTAGATCAGTATTCATTCTAAGCACATACAAGTCTAAGAAATTACTGAAATGTATGAAATAGCAGTTAAGCCCCCCCCCTGAAATATTACCCCTTGAGATGAATGAATAGTGATCCTTTATCTGAGGTTGAGAAATTTCAGGCTTACATTTGAAAACAGGGCAAACCTTTCAGGCTTAATTCTGAAAATTACATTATTTTCAGGCTCAATTCACCCATATTGGTGGCTCATATCACACTCGGACTCCCTACCTACTGAGAGTCCCCCAGTCAACTAACATACAATTGATCTTTTGGCTCATCAATGGGTCTATACTGCTGATTCCTCAACTACTAGCCTATAGGTGCGTGTACTATGACAAGTACTTCTCCCCTGTTGAGAACAAGGCAGCTACCACATCAAAGAAGGTGGAAAATGATGGACTAGTTAATTCTGCTCTCAAAAAGAAATCTAAAAGATACTGAAGATGGAGGTATCTGAAGTTTGTGATATATGGTGCAACAATTGTATTAAATGTTATTGAGGTCGTGTTTCATGTTTATGAAAATAGTAGAATTTGGGAGATATAAAATTAAGATATATTGTATTTGTTATTGATTTGGAACTGAATTTAATTTGTTCTTTGGTCGTTTTCGCAAAATTGGCACAGATTTAGTTTGACAGAATTTAGGGTATTACTATTACATTAACTGAAATTACGAACACAAAATGAGGCCTTTACTCTCAGGCAATCAGCGTTTTAACAAAGTATAACTTATACAAAGAACATACTGTTGGTAAGGACATGTGCTAGAACTCAATCTTTGTTCAAAAATATGGTATAACTGTCAGATAGTCATATTTTCTTTTAAATCTTGGGATTTTGTTTAATTTTAGTTTGGCTAAAATAAGAACAAAAATAGTATGTCATTGATATCATTTTTAACAATGGGTCATATTGACATCAGCATTAGTGAGCATAGCAAATACGGAATAATATTGATATCAACAAGTTGATGAAAATGATATCCAAAAATATCATTCTAGATTTATCCCATGATTCACACTTTCTTTTGTAAGTGGCATTGGTATCAGATGAAATATTATAGGATAAGATTTGGTATGATCTTATACAACATGAGCATGACCAAAATAACATTTTATGCATGGGCATTATGACATCACAGTGATTCATTGTGACATCACAATGATTCATAATGACATCACAATGATTCAGGTGATGTTTGTTTAATGGAGTAAATTCAATACATATCAAAGAGAACAGCATTACATAATTAATGGCCAACTCTGACAAACCCAATAAAATGTTATACGTATCAATGATTCCATATCATATTATATTTATAGTTTTACTATTTATGTTTAGTATTATATCATAATTGTATTCAGGAGGTGACTAAAATATCTACTTATTTATATGTATTTATGTCACAGCATGTTGTGTAACATTGAAATCACAGAGGAAATTTTGGCATAAATCACTATTGTTTTTTTGGGCTCTAGTCCTACACTAAAGTATCAGTATTGTTTAAACCTAAGTCAAAATACTAGACTCTGATTAGCTGATGAAAAGCTTCAGATGTTTCCCTTTGATTGACAGGCCAAATTGTATCCATTGTGCCTCTATGGATGACAATCTTGATGGTTGAAATCCACATAAGGTTAAAGGTGCGACAATTAGTGCAGGGGAGCCATTCAACGATCATCGATCAGTGTCAAAATATATTTAAGTTTGGATATTTCACCAAGACTAACATATATTTTTATTATCTTCAAAGAAAGCCCCAGGATGAACATCATTTCAGCTGATATTCCTCTTGAAACGTGGTGGATCTTAAAAATCTATAAGTGGGACTCCCTTTATAGAAGCTTTGAACTGAATTTACACTTCTTAATGCTGAAATTGATAGTTTATCCATACATTTTAAGAAAATAGGTATGTCAAAGAAGATGTTCAGCCAAATATTGACCTGATAGCTCAGAAAAAATAAAAAAATCGGATTTTGTTTCTACAGTTCTTGCTGCCCCTTTAAGTGTGCTTGGATACAATTTGGCAAGTACAACATACTTCAAAGGGGAATTTGGGGCAAGAGTATCTCCTTCCCTGTCCATTATACAGAAATACTTGGTATACTGTATTATTTTAATGAATTTCGAATAAAAGCATTTTACTGCCATAATTGGAGGATGGATGAGTATTAAGTCGTCCCTTCATGGTCATAGACTCATGATGAGAAGTTATAAACTTTAGTATCTGCATATATAGGAAACTAAATAAAAGGACATTCTAAAGCCAGTCATGTTGAAACCACAATGCTTTAAGAAAGCTTGAATGCCTATTGCATTTAATAAGCTTGAATGCCTGTTGCATTTAATCGGAATTTGGTTCAATAAATCACATAAATTAGCAATCATAATGTATGTGCCAAATATTACAAATCCAATGCCATATTGTATATTTCATGAAATCAAGTTTAATATCACTTGGGATAAATATTGAAATGATGACATGTTGTTGTGAACCATGATCACACAGTTTTACAAACTAAATTATCCATCTTAAAATGAGGATCCTCTGTCCTTATTTCCATTTTATCCCATGTACTGCTCGCTCTGTCTTATTGTGTTATTGTTGTATTATTGCTTGTAATAATTTGCATAACGTATTGTATCAAGTTCATTCTTGGTAGTTCATTTCATCCTTGCTGCAAGGGTATTTTACAAGTACACAATGAATTTAAGCATAAATGAAGTCCTTTGAAGAAGGATGGTTCATTTGAAATCAGTTAATCTTAAACTGAATAAATCAGGTAGATTTACAGTGTGACCCAGAAAACAAAACCCTAACCCTTTATTCTAAGATTTGTGTGTTCTGTTTTTTGGGTCACCCTGTATAATTAAAAGCTCATCACCAAATGTATACATGTATATTAATGTTTTTATGCATCATTGTAATTAAATATGTTGAGTACTTACACAAGATTTGAAAATGAAATGTTTATTAAAGTGCATTTTAAAAAAATGGTAAATGGTCGTAACGATTTTTTTCATCCAAAAAGATTCTTTATCTCATTGGCCACATTAATGAGAAGGTAAGCATGTGGACTTCACACAAGTAGGTCTAGTCTAGTCATGCAGTTTCTCTCCCCCCCCCCTCCAAAAAAGAAACAAGTACATTTTCATTTAGATTATTGTCCCTTGTAATTCATTTCATACAGTGAAACTGTTAAAACTAAACATCAATTGGAAAGGCCAGAGGCATTAATATTAGGAGGTGTTGACACTGATAGTTTTTTCAGGATTCAAGGAATTAATGTGAAAACTTAGAAGTGTCTGTATTTTATGAGCCATTCATATCAACACATAAAGTACTTAAATCTAAAATGATTGAAGAGCTTGTGTATAAAACTTGATATTTTGTTTACTAATATCATTAAATTATTTTTGATCAATCATTTTGTGTTAACTTAGACCAAGACCATGTTTTTATTTAACATGAAAAATCATGTGAACGATTGTCATTAGGCACTGTATTGTAGCTTCGATTGTATGGCTGTTTTATATTTTAGTACCGATAGTTTATAAATAAAAAGTAGTTTGTGAAATGAATTGAAATAAAAAAACTATTAAATTCTAAATAAAATGTTAACATTTTATTCATTATCTCTCTTAAGGGGTATTCCCACCATGATGAACCATGGCATCTTTTTTTCTGAGCCCAGAATGGGTATTCCTTGCAAGCCCATTTCTCTCTTGATATAGTAGCTGTAATCATTCTTATACTTTTATTTAGCAAAACATGGAAAAATGTTTTGATATGGTCAAAATTGATTGTACAATAGTAAGAAGCACAGAAGCACCTCAATATTCTTTTTCAAATAGTTCTATGATTTAATTCTATAGATAATCTCTTAGTTGCCAAGCCCTGAAAACATTTGTTCACATAGAGACACTCTACCCTACCTCGTTCCCACATGCACAAAATTTCTCTACCCTACCTCGTTCGAACATGCACAAAATTTTTGGTTTTAGTCCAAGCCACTGTTTAGTATATCGACTGCTACTGGAACAGTGTAGTACGTTTAGTGTCATGGATGTCAATCTTTACTTTACTGTGCCAAGAATTCTCTATCTTTGTCTATAAGGGGTTTCTGGTAAGAATACAATGCAAACTGCTCGATGAATCTTTACTATGGATAGTACAGGGTGGTCCAAAAAGATGTATCCATTGTTAATAAAGTAGCATTTTCAATTGAATATGTTGTTGCTTGATCCGTTAAAGTTAGGAAATAAATCTTTCGAGCTTTACCTGATAAACAGAGCCTGGATTGATTTTCTCAGAAATGATAGTGATTATAAAATGGATACCTCTTTTGGCCTGCATATTCTCCAGACCTATCCCCTATGGCTTATATTCTTTGGGAATACCTAAAAGACATGGTCTATGCTAACAATCCCCAAACTACTGATACATTCAAAAATAACATTTGACCGAATATCAGGAAAATTCCCCATGACATGCTTGACAGGGTCATTACAAACTTTTAAGTGTGAGTAGCCAGAGTTTTAGCACCAATGAGCTTGGATCAAGCACATTACAAACTATTCAGCTGTGCTCGCAAAATGGTGGTATACCAAGAAAACTTACACCACATAAAACTTACATGTCTGTAAGATAGGTCTCTGCAAAAATATTGTAAAGTTTTCATTGAATAGAAAATGTATACATCTTTTTGGACCACCCTGTAGAACACTAGGAAGATATGTAAAATCTAGTTGACTTTCAGAAATATGGAAATAAACTCACGTCCTCCATTTGCAACTACACTGTCACTGGGATGAATTAATAGTACAATAACGTCATTTCTAAGGGCAATAAAGTGAAATATCGGACCGAGGGCCGAAGGCCCAAGGTCCAATATTTCACTATATTGCTCGCAGAAATGACGTTATTAGTATTATTACCACCGTTAACGACCAGGACTGAAACAGCAAGAAAATCGTACGCATTGAACGATATCTAATTTCCCGGGGAAAATTGCCGGTCCAGAATATATTCTAGACCGGTCCATATGGACCACCACTATGACGTCACACATTTCCCAGGTCGATATAGTAAAATGAACGCCTTCTAAACTAGCACTAAAACCCCTAGAACTGGCCCGGCAAGGTGGTAATAATAAGAATCTTAATGGGGCATTTACTTTTTAAATAATGATAATGAATAATATAATGAATTTGTTTTGTTATGTGGTATATTGTTGACTCATGATAACCTTCAATATTTTTGTGACTTGTGTTTGGCATTAGGTGGTTGGTACCATTATTAATCAATTGTAATCACTAGGCTATATAAATGAGAAATGTTCACAGTAACCTTCTACTTTGAACACATTTAAATGTTTTAATGAGCCAAAAATATACTGAATTGAAACAATAAAAATAAAAAATCTTAATTAGGCTAAATGAACAAAATCTTATTGAATTTATATATTAAAAGCATTTATTATGCCAACAACTATATACTGCCTTGTATAACATAGCCAGACCGCCTCTTTCAATTCAGAAATATTGTACAACAAAATAATCTTAATCTGCACATAACGAGATTTTCTGAACATAAATGAAGTACATTAATACTTCCTCAATTCATTAACATAAAAACATGAACAACATAATGACAGTTCCAGAAGATTTCAACTTTAACAATCAGCACTGAATCCTCTAGAGCATAGTTCAGGAAAAGCTTACTGCTAATTATAAGCCTCGTCTAATTTAGCATGTCAAAATAACCCTTCTTGTGCAAAATTAAGGATTCACATGACAAAGCTGGATACATGTTTTTGGTTGTCAGACTAGCTTTTCATGGGTTTTCCTAAAATGTGAATCTAGACATTCTAGGAACACCCATAAATTTATTCTTGATTTTCAAAATAAGAATCATACATGTACCTCCTTTTCTTAATGTTATTCTTTTATAATTGCACTGGTCAGAAATATTATTAATTAAAATCACAGTTCTATATTAAATTAAAATAAATTAGTTGCTTCTAACTAAATTCATGAATTACAATTTTGTAGACAGAATTCCTCTTAAAATAAGAAATAAGCTAAAAATAAAAGCTTCTTACCCAAGTTTCTCCCTTTTAAATGCCCACTGTACATTTATCTAAATGTTTTGAAAATGAACAGCCATCAATGCTTTATAAAGAAGAAATAGTTTCCACAACCAGTGAGTAGGTGTATATCTTCAACCTTTCCAATCTTTGAAAGGATCACCTAGTCACAAAATAGGGAGAAACTGGTAATTTAAAACATATAACATCAATACAGGCCCTTTTACCATTCTAAATAGTATGAAAAACATACTTGTCATCCCGGATATTTCAAAACTTTCAAACTGAGTTAATATCACTTATTTTACTTATACTATTTGCTAGTGCAAGTTCTAATGTGACTTAAACCAGCATTTTATGGTTTAATATATATCATACAGACAATAACACAAAAACAATGCATTCTCTGACCATAATCTCCAGACTAAAATTAACACCATTTAATGTTCATTTTACATTAAACAAGATTTTAAAGTACTCGACTTATCAGAGTTTATAGAACTGTTCAACTTCACAGGTATTTCTGTACATACACAGTACTTCATACCCCTATAACATGTTGTAAAATATCAATGATCACCAAACCACTTTCAACTCATCTTGACTCCCCAAAATCAACATAGATTCATATGGGTTTATGTTTATCTGACTTACAAACAATCAAACTAAAATGGCTAAAGTTTTTTTTACTAACATCCCACCCAAAATGAAATGTACTCAAGTGGTTTGGCTTACATCAATATTCCTAACAGCAATATTCAATAATACAATAACCACCTTTTGAAATAATAATACATGTGATATATTACAATACTATATTTTCCCCTGTTATACAGTGGATACATTATCTGTTAGCCTGAAATCCAATTTACTCTATGAAATGGCCAAAACATGACATATTCGACATTTCTTTTGGCAAATATACAGTATGTCATTTTCACGTTGTTAAGACATTATTTCAGATAACATATAAACATTGCTCAAATAAATCTAAAAAAATATGCAGGAATGAAACTAAAAATAAGTTGCATGGGTCAAATATTCACATGTTAACCTTGCACAGTACATATTTATTAATCTGGCACAGTGCTGCCATCTACTGACAAATTCTGCATTTGTTCCAACTCCATCTATTGATAGATATCTTCCACATTAGTTCTAAATACTGTACATTTCTTCATAGTTTATACCAGCAACATAAATGCCAGCACATGGACAGCAAATAAACCTAGCTTTAACAGACAAAAGGTAAAAACCATTTCTCATTGTTGACCCCATCCGAGGGCTTTCTTTAATGAAAAATCAATGTTGTCGATTTCTGGCATTCTGTTACTTGATTTCGTGTTACTCACTATAACATTGGTGACATTATCTAATATGGTATTCATTTTTTGTGCCGTATCATGATCATATACAATATACATCATAGGCCTTGTCCAGTGTCAATATGTGATACAAATAACATGTGCTATTATAAATACAGCTTAAATATACAGTGTCTCACTTTCAAAAATGATATACTAAGAGTATTGATTGTAAGGATCTTCATATCCTGGGACGTTTTATGGTATAAGCAAATGATATGTACATGTATTACAGACCAAAACCACTGTTAGGAAGTACATCATATCATCAATATAGATATTACACTGAAATAGTTTCCAATCAATATCAAGTTTTTTATATTATTCACGCCATCTATACATGTGATGTGTGTACCACCTTAAAGATGTGTGTCATATAGTTGGGTCACTTAGAAAATGCAAGAAGCACTGGCTAAGCAAGGAGAAATAGATTATTCTGATTATGTTCACTGCCATAATCAGATACATTCATTCAAGTAATATATAGGTTAACAGGCAAAGGTATTCTTTTATATAAGACTACAGGCTCATGTAGTTTCACTGCATCAAGCCATGAATTCAAAATTATGTGAAATAATTTAGGTAAAAATAAACAAAGTGGAGAAAATTGCTTATTGCCCGAAGCTAATGAAATCTCTCTTAAGACGTATTCTCCTTTGATTGTATATGTAGTGTTATAGTAACTCATGTAACCCTGGGTGTAGTAAGGATGTGTGTTTGGCTCCCTTTATTGTACATGCAGTGTCATAGTAACTCATGTAACACTGGGTGTAGTAAGGCTGTGTGTCCGGCTCCCTTTATTGTACATGAAGTGTAATAGTAACTCATGTAACACTGGGTATAGCAAGGACATGTGTTTGACTCCCTTTATTGTACATGAAGTGTCATAGTATCTCATGTCACCCTTGGTGTAGCAAGGACATGTGTGCGACTCCCTTTATTGTACATGAAGTGTCATAGTAACTCGTGTAACACTGGGTGTAGCAAGGACATGTGTTCAGCTCCTTTGATTGTACATGTAGTGTCATAGTAACTCATGTAACACTGGGTGTAGAAAATGTAGTGTCATAGTAACTCATGTAACACTGGGTGAAGCAAGGACATGTGTTCGACGCCCTTTATTGTACATGTAGTGTCATAGTAACTCATGTAACACTGGGTGAAACAAGGACATGTATTCGGCTCCTTTGATTGCAAATGTAGTGTCATAGTAACTCATGTAACACTGGGTGTAGCAAGGACATGTGTTCGGCTCCGTTGATTGAATGTAGTGTCATAGTAACTCATGTAACACTGGGTGTAGCAAGGACATGTGTTCGGCTCCTTTGATTGTACATGCAGTGTCATAGTAACTCATGTAACACTGGGTGTAGCAAAGATATGTGTTCGGCTCCTGAATATAGTGTCATAGTAACTCATGTAACACTGGGTGTAGCAAGGACATGTGTTCGGCTCCTTTGATTGAATGTAGTGTCACAGTAACTCATGTAACACTGGGTGTAGCAAGGACATGTGTTCGGCTCCTTTGATTGGTAGTTTACTGACAGAGTAGTGACATATCATATCAGGTATGCTGGGATACGGCTGGCTGTATTGTCCCAAAATATAGCTGCCATTGCGCTGTACTATCTTCATGTGCATGAAACCACGAATACTCCTACAAAATTAATAATCATTGATAAATATTCAAGGATGTTTTACCACAATATACAAACAAGCATGCTACATAAATTCCAGCCCAGAAACCCAGAATTCTTATAAACAAACATGCAACCTGTATGACCATTAGATATTAAAGTTCTGAATTTGTTTACAATGTAACTCCATGACAACATTGTATGCATAGGACTCCTTGTACTTACTTTAATGATAAGGAGTAATCTTCTTTATTGCTCTCACTCTGCCTCACCAAGTAGCTCCCCTCTTTGTGTACACGAAGCAATGATTCTGCATCCTGCCTACTGACTGAGCCATGGTACCATCTGTAGAAAATCAATGAAAAGGATATTGTATGTCATACAGTATAATAAAAGAACAATTTCTTAATTTATGTAAAGACAGCACTGACTGGATTGAACATCCTACATATTTGAATGATAATACCAAACTGTATAACAGTATGTGTGTTCGTATTATGAGAAAATTCGCTGAGAGGAACAGCCTGCCATCCTATTATTGAGTCAAAAAGACAACTTAAAAGCATATAAACATACAACACTTTAAATATTGCAAACTTTATTTTTGTATTTCTGTTGTTATAACTATTAAAATGTAAACATCAGAGCACTATTGGAGCACTATGGAGAAAAGGGATGGTTAATTTTCTGCAAGTGTTAAATCAGATTATGATATTATCTTGAAATGGTTTTAAACCTACCTTTGTCTTTCTAATTCCACTGCCGGATCAACCTTCTCCCCAACAGCATTCAAAGTCCTACTGCCTAATTCAACATTCAAATTGTGCTGACGCTTTTTTGGAGAGTGTTGGGGTGTGTCATGAAGGGAATGTGGGGTGTCATGATACGACTGATTATCTGGAGGCAATCGTGCAGGTGCACGCTTGGAGATATCTGGACTCCCTGAAACATTTAAATTACATGAAACATTTTTTTGGGGAAAAAGTCAAAATCTACTGAACTTGATGTTTAGATTCAAAGTCACCGAATGATTATGTTTTGTATATGTTCAGAAGATTCAATATGTCCATATATACATTGACTATACTATGTGGTACTAAAGATATCCCATAATCGATAATATAAATAATTTTTAATGTTGAGTGCTAGGATATCCTATATCCAACCTACACAATGCAACAAAATTACTGACTAACCAGTCTGCATTACCCGTTTACTGTAGCTCAAGATTCCAAGTTGAAGATTTATTGAGTTATTGTTGTCAAAGTAAAGCAGGCAACAACTTTCAACAGAAAACACTTGAAATATTGAGCTCTGACATATCCTGAGTATAAATCAACTTAAATATTTCACATAAAACTAGTTACATCATGTAACAGCCAGAAATACACCATCCAATAAATGTAAAGTGCCTTCAATAAATAATAATAGATGAAAAACAACTGAGGAAACACTGAGTCATAGATCTTGCGAACTGTTTTTGACATTTATTTGACAATAGAATACCCAAGTAAACTAATTTCTAGTTGTTATGAGCAGAACTTGCATTTACATGGTATGTCCAAAAATGTAGGTTCGCTTCAAATTGTCATGTTTTCAAATAGCAGAAGTATCGTTTTGTATTTTTAATTGTACAAACCTCTATCCATCTGTGATAGAAGAGCACTTTGACGTACATGCCATGGCTCGTCATAATCATCACCTGGTCTGTCATCCTCAATTTGATTGGTCAGACTATCTGGCGTCTTTGACATTTTCCTTTCTCTTATTTGATTAGTCGATTCATCTGAAACATCAGGGGAACTGGATTTTCGACTGGAGGGGCGAGGGGGAATGTATACCTCACATTTTATTCCCGAGAGAGTACCTAGTGAGGCGTTAGAAACTACAACACAAACAGACATGCAAAACGTAAATAATCAAAAATCATATTGACAAAGAAAAAATGCCACACTTAGGATGTCATGCTCAAAGTTCACGATTTTCTTTAAATGTCCCTGGAAATATTCAAACCTTAGGAACCCCTATTGGCTTTAAATTCAATTTGACTTTTAAACATGATGAAAACTTGAATAGAAATAGGGTCAATCGATTGCTGGCATATTTTTAGCGAGTTTTCTTAAGCATGATAAATGTGACATTTTATCCAATAGAAGTAACAAATATTACCATAAACAAAAAGCAATTAAATCCCAAGTGCCTTCATAAATAACAGTTTGAAGATTCAGTTTTACAAAAAATAACTTAATGATCAAATAACCTATTGGCGAATAAATAAAATAACAACATCTTACTCTAAGCAGGATTTATGGCAGGCTTAATTAGCATATTTACCAATCATGGCATGTAAGATAAAATGAACATTTTTCATATTAATTCAATCACCAGTGGCATTTCCCATGCATTAATAACAATCAAAAAACCACAACCAGTTTTATAGCATAATTGAAATAAAATCAATACAAATATTAAAACAGATGTTTCGTCTGAAACAGACAGTGTCTAAAATGTCACTTTTCTGTATTGTCAACTCTGTAATAGGCTTACCTGGTCTAAAAGTATTTGGTGGTGAGACTTTGGTAGAAGGGGGATTAAAAGCTGATGACGTCCGACTAGCATGTTTTATTTTTCTTTCCAACTCCATCTGCTTCGACTGTAGATCCCAGGGATCCTCGTACATATCGGGGACCTGGGTCTCCCCAGAGGGTATATTCATATTGGGACTTTCTCCTCTAAGAGGACCAGAACTCTCTGATAAACCCTCACTTGGATATTTAAAAGCAGATATTTGAGAGGATTCTAAATGTCGGCCATTTTCTTTCTCTAAAGTCTGTGTACCAACACTTTCTGTGGGGCGTTTCTTTTTTATAGCATCTCCTGATTTTCTTCGTAACTTTACTTCTGGTTTTATCGGAGGTGATGCCCTAGGTGGTTTCAGAGGCGGTGAACCCCTAGGGGGAGGGGAATTCCTTGGTGGAATAGCAGGGGGTGATTGTCTATTCATGGGGGAGGAAGAAAGAATTGCTGGTGTTGACTGATTAGGTGAAGCCCTATCATGATTTGATCTGGCTAAATGTTCTTGTAAAATTTTATGTTTCTGTGAGAATTCCCACGGACTATCATAATCCTCCATTGGCCGGAAGTCACTTAAACGTTCCATTTCTTCTTCAGTTTGATTTCCTGTATCGGAATCTATAGCAATATCACTTTGTTTAGTCGTAGCTATTATGCTATCAAGTTCAGTATCTTTCTCTGGAGAAGTCTGTGTCCTAACGTGACTATATTCAGAGGTAGAGGTTTCAGTGTTTATGTCTTCATATGGTTCATCATATAAATGTGGTGCTTTGTCTTCAGTCTCTTTCTCATTTAAGTCATCCTTTGATAATGCTGAAACACAAAAAAGGAACACTTATATAACATAATCTCTTAATAGGTTTTTCATGTAATAATTATTTGAAGAGTGTCGGTGAAATTGAGATATTTTTAGTTTCAAAAGCATGGCTTTTCCTTGTGTAATCAGTTTAAATATTGTCCTTTCATAAAAAGTAAATAATCTTCAAAGCAATTATTAAATTTTAATAATCATAAAGTTATTGGTTTCAAGTATAATTTGTATTGAATCATCCTCGTTGCATTTATTTCTATCTGATTGGCTGAAGCACCTCATCATTTCGATACTAGAACTCCTTCAGTAACTGGTAACAAAGTACTCTCATTACAATTTAGAAAATATAGCGGGGGTGTATTCCATGCCACCTATTTGATTCTTATCTTCCCAAATAGTTTTTAACTTCCTGATTGAAGTGCAACTTACACACCTACTGCGCTAAATAGATTGCATTATGAAGAAATCACCTTGAATCTGAGATTTGAACTATAGTGGACCCTCAAATATTTACATGTAGATAATCTAGCAGACTTTAGACTTTGTTATCAGAATTGAATTCGCAGAATCAATCTTCCCAGGTTTTAGTACATCATAAAATAGCGTGTGAAATGAAAAGTAGAAAAGAAATGAATAAGTATATAGCTAAGAAAATCCACGATCTCTCTCAATTATAATTTTTCAACATAGTATAGGGAAAAACATGTTTTGTTTGAAAAAGGGAATAAACTCAAGTAAACTTAGATGGGGTAATGAAACACCATCATACTGAGATCAATAAATAAAATTCTCCAAACCAATTTTACTCGAAAATGATATTATTATTCAATTTCATTTTCTTTTATTAATTTCAATGTGAGATTGTTCCAGCTCTAATGAGCAATAAAACAGGTGAATACCCCAGAATTCATAGATGAAAGAATCTCCATATATGGATGAAGCTCTAGAGATTCAACATTATATAGAGATAGGTTCATGTATGGATTCTGGGGGATTTCCTCTTGTATGCAATCATCAACATTCAAATTGTTCTCAATATTACCCAGTTTCATAACAATAACTTTTCTATAAAAAGAATGAAGTGGCCCTCTTCAGTTTTATCCCCCTATTGTTGTAAACACATGCTCTAAACTGATTGTAAGGCCTTAGTTTATCACTGGCATTTCCAAGTACCTCACATCATGTTGTTGGAAGTGTATTTTACAAAACCTGACAGGAAAACTTTCATTTTAAAGTAGTGAGCCCTCTTAAAATTGTTTTACTTTAGAAGTAAATCCCTATTTCCTAAAATTCAAATTTTAATTTTAATCACTGCAAATAAAAAATCATGTCTTCTAATGGTACTTCCCCTTTTTGGCGCAAATCTATATTTATTCTGAGACCATTTCTTGAAAGTAATATTACACAGATTTTAATAATTTTTCTTGATTTTGTATGTCATAGTGTAACTATGGTGATATCACAAAATATAACTAAATTTTGATTGTTATTCAAGTTATTTTTTAGACACAGTCTCCTGTTGATAATATGATCTCAACACTTATATTTTTGAAATTACCTGCTCTTCATATAAGGTCCTCTTTACCTTAGCTTCTGCATGTAAAACTAAGTCTTTATTTATTCACAATAGTTATAAATCTTTAATGCACGAAAACAATGTCCATGGAGCTATGAATGAAGCAATACACATATATTTAAATCTAAGCGTGACTTTCTGTGGTTTAAAGGTGAAATCATACAATGCTCTCGATAAATCAAACATTTAAAAATATACTATGATTCAAATAATAGTCAAACATCCAAAAATACACAATTCAAATTATAAAGCCCCTTTCGAGAATACCCTTCAGAAAAGTAGATTCAATGCATATCTTTAACCTTGTGTTAATTTCTAGACACGCAACATATATATATAGACACAATATATTATATTTTCAAGAAACACACCTGTTATATTTTATACAGAAAGAATAAATATAAACCCAAATAACATAAATACCAAAAATATGACAAAAAATATTACCCAAATGGCCCTATTCTGCTGTTAAATGTACAGTTGTCCGGAGTGTTGATATAACTGAATTTGACTTCAGTGTCCAACTGTTACACTTTAACAACACTATACTCCAATCAGCTTAATAAACCACCCAATTATCATATTTCATATTATTAATACAAAAGGTCATTCATTTTCGTTAATGTTTCACCAGCTGATTACCAACCCCACTGACCATTAAGTAGCCATCTGGCTAATTTTAAGTGTCTTTTTCTATTGTGTATATTGAGAAGTTTGAATAGCTGAAAAGTCTATGATCTGATAGACCCACATGTCCTTTCTTTTGCAGCACATCTGCTTCTAATCACCTTGATCCATGAAGGTATTCTATATACCTCTAACGTAATCTTTTAAATTCAAAAATGGTATGGTATGTATTCCTAAAATGAATGCTTTTATTAAGCTTTGTGATGTATCATCACTAATCATCTTCAGTTATGATCTAATATACATCTGCTTTAAATGATACAAAAATACCTCTCTTATCAGATTTCATGAAATAATCTACGAATAGATTGATTACGCTTCTTCAAAAAGAGCTTCATCTTAGCCATAGAGTAAATATAATATTATTCACATCTGGTCCTATACCAAAGTGACCCTAGCCGCAATTTAAACCATTTGGGGATGAATGTTCATCTCACTTACATTCTACTAGTGGTTATAAGAGATGTGATAAACACAACTTTAATTTGGCATACTCTTTTCCAGTTTGATTGAAAACTATATTGTACCTGGTACCTTAGAAATCTAATATGATGTTTTGACCTAAACTTGACTGAACTATTTCATGCTACAGTTTCATATATTCAAACTAAAATATTATTCAGTAATTTATTTTTTGATGTTAGATTGATATGAATATATAAATTTATATGTAATCACTAACAGAAGCAAACAAGAATAGATGACATAAAAAAGAAAAATAAACAAACAATACACTAATAGTCTTACCCCTCTGATTTACAATGAAATCCAGTACCTCTGTCAAATCCTAATATTTAAATGATAACACTAATTGAGTGTGAATTCTAGTGTTTAATGCCTGGTTATAAAAATGAATAAATGAATCAAACCACAAAAATTCCTGGCGTCTGTTAGGAGGAAACAGATTGCTGGATTAAGGAAATAATTTCATACTCTACTATTTATGATGTGCTTGACTTGTTTGATCATGTGATCAAGTTGTTTGATCATGTGATCCATGTGTTATTCTACTTGGCTCCTCTTTGAGGTGAACTAATGGACTAATTCTGTACAATAATTAAACATTCATCAATACCTTTCAAACGTGGTACATTATTGATTAGCAATTCTTAAGAGATGTTAAAACTAGATCAAAGACTTTTCTAATTTGTGATTCATTTCTCAAAACAAGAACACATAAAGATCAAAGAGTATGAGATGCAATAAAACAACAATAAAATAAAAATATTTTTGTAACTTACAATGGCACCAATTTTGATTTTGGCAAAGAGTCTGCCTTTGTATCAAATCTCTATCCAACCCACACACAAATAACTTCCTCTTCCATTTTGGGATAGAGACGGCACAGGGACGAAGTATACCAATAACTACATATCAAAATCAATACTGGATCAAAACAGCTGTATTAGTGCCATTTTGGCAATTTCTAAAAATAATACTTTAAACCAACCAATTTTCTGCTTAGCCAAAAAGCCCCAGACAGCAATTATAGAAGAATGGTTTGCCAAGCCTATCTAAATATTTGTAAATCTTAACAAACTGAGATGAACAAATGATTTCATTACATGCTCTTTCTATCATAACATGAAATAAATAAGACTGTATCAAACAAAGAACACACTACTCAATGAAACATTTATGTCTAGGATTTGGTCATATGTGCATTTATGATGATGAAAAAACCTTGTATAAAATCATTGTGAGATATCAGATCAGTTCAATCAATCAATTCCTTTTATATTATAGTCGGAAAACTGTGAATCTGAGTAAAATGACCATCCTTCTTCAAATGACTTCATTCATGTTTCTTTTATGGCAAGAAGTGAAATACCCTTGGACCAAGGATGAAAAGGATGGTATAATAATCACTTCAAGTCAATCTCAGTTGCAAGAACTTAGCCATCACTTTTCTCCTCTCTGGGGCAAGTTAACATCTTGATCCAGATGGAGAGCAGGGGAGAAAGCCATTTCAGGATTCTCAGCACTGAGTCACGACCAACACTGGGACTAAGGTCACAGTTTCCAATTATGAGTTTGACATATTACATTCAAAAGACATTTTTCATAAATTATATTAATAACTTCTAACATGCAATGCATCTTCATTCTCTGGTTAGATTGATGCATCCACAATGACATAACCATGGTGATGTATGATTAAATGAATATTCATCAAGAAAGATGATGAGTCTATCATACTAAAATTCTAGAAAATCTTATGTTTATGAAAGAAACACAGTAAAATCTGAATAATCCAAAGACCACTGAGACTAACCAAAAAAGCTTGGATAAGCGGGTGTTCGCATTTCAAGGTTTTATAACAATACCAGTGAATAGGAGATAATGGAATTGGGACTGGGAAAAAATTTTCACATTGAGAGGTGTTCAGATTACAAAGATAATTCAGATGTACAGGTTTTACTGTAGACACTGTACTGCCTCAAAGAATATTTCATTTGCAATTCTTAGAAATTCCATTCCAGTCATCCTAATAAATACAAGAGCTCTAACTGCAGTAGACTGTGCAACAATTTAATAAGTGACATTGATGAGGAGCTAATCAATATGAGAAAGGTGTCTTTAGCTAATGTGATATTGTCAGTTCACTCACATCCTGGTTGAAACACAATTTATTCTCGGCATTATGTATTCTAGAAGACACTCTCCCTTTAAATGGATTTGTCTGTGGGAATATATGAATTAACTCTCAACAGATATAAGGGGGTAAGATGAGGTTGA